ATTTTTTGTGCTATTACTTTCAGAAAGGTTTTTGAGGAATGTAATATTTTTTATCTACACGAAAGGGTCCTTGAATTACTGGCCGTTTCCCGCTATTCCCAAGGATGATTCAGGTTGCAACTGGCGGTCGAGGCTCCGCTTTTTCACGGTGAGCTTTTATTTCGAAATATTATAATTTTAGATTAATAGAAGCTGCTTTTTCGTTGAAATCGAAGAGAAGATTAATGAAATAATTTATCAATCGCCAGTTTTAAATACTGATTTGTTGGATGTATTATTGCGATACACCGAGTCGGTTCCATCTCTTCGGATCGCCTGTTGACTTTGATAAAATTTTATTCAGGATTACCAACAAATCACATACTTTTTTCAAGAGGAAAAATACATTTTTATTATTATAAATAAATAATAAAATTATTTCAATTAATTATACTTTTTGTCTAAGGTGTAGGCTGCGATGAAAAAGTTAGTGTTACGAGTGGGATTCATACCCAAGACCTTCAGCTCATTACACTGCTGCCGTAACCACATGAGCTATTGTGACTTTGTGAGTCAATAGTTCAAGTGGTTAGGGCAGCGGTGTATTGTGCATAAGGTTAGAATAATCTATCATATTATAAATTCTGTTACACCTTTGTTTTAACATGTTTAAAATATCTTCAATAAATGACTAGAGCTCTGTTTCTTTTGTCATTTGTCAATATATCCACCGGCTTTATAAATCTACAGTCTATAATCATTTCTTTACATTTTTTTCCCTTTGGAAATTTCAATATGACCCATCAATGTTCAGCCCAACATATCACTGCTCCTACCACTTGTGCTACTGTGACTTTGTGAGTCAATAGCTCAATTGGTTAGGACAGTGTATTGAGCCAAAGGTCTTGGGTATGAATCCTGCTCGTAACACAAACTTTTTCATCTCAACCAAGTCCTTAGACAAAAGGAATAATTAATTAAAAGTAATATACTGCTTTAGTGTCACACACGGGATTCGAACCCACGACATTAGGCTTATAAGTATTGGATGGTCAATCACTATGTAGTTGCTATCTCTCCATTTTAATTTTATTCCTGTTTGAGGTTTCTCTTTAATAATACTAATATTAGTTTTAAACTCCCTTAAAAATTAATAATAATAATAGTTTTCTACGCTGTCCTCATTATCATGTGGTGTAGGGGGATTGATCCCAATATCTTTCTCCATAAATTCTCAGTTACCTCAAGAGTTCCTGTAGGATCTCACTTAGGGCCTCTTTTGTTTCTTTTCATAAACAACAATTACACTGCAGTTAATGATATAATTTTTCTTATATTTGCTGATGCTCTACAGATTTTTGTACTTATTTCTTTTAATTCTCCAAAATAATTTAAACTCTCCTCATTCTTGGTGTTTAAATAATGATCTAAAGCTTAATATTTCAAAATGTGTCCAATTCTCAAGATGAAATAATTCTAATACAATCAGTGGCATGCCTTCACTTCAGTTAACATTATTAAGGATTTTGATATCTTATTTGACCAACAGCTAACGTTTAAAAACTACAATATAAGTTTAGCTTCTAAAACTTTGAGGATTTATGATTTGTTTTAAAACATATTTTCCGAATAGTCAGATGTTAAAAATAATATATATGTATCCTTAGACCCATCCTTGGGCCTCCTTATGTAGTTTGCTCTTTAACTTTCTCTTGAAAGTGTTCTCAAGGAGCCCATACATTTTCAAACAAATTGCACATCACATGCTGTTGTGCAATAATTTGCCAATGTATGGCTGTGTTTGATGCGTTGCACAAATGATTGACTACTTTCAAAAATGTTTGAAATCCTTTGTACAAAATGTTTCCGCAACACATTGGGTCGTGTATGTGCATGTTGTGCAATATTTTTCTGTTATTGACTGGTATTCTTGGTGGAATCTCTCAATTGTGTGTCTTGTTTATACATATGCAGAGATACCACTTCCAAAAGTTCTCAACAAGTAATAGAATCCATCCTCAAATAATTTTTGTAATCAAGAGAGAATGAAAACTAACTTGAATTAGGCTATCATGGCTAAGAGTCGCCCTTTTCTTTAGCCCTTCTTTCATTGAAAATGTAAGGGTTTTTTTGTTTTCTGGTAACATAGCCATCATCTAATACAGATGAAATAATAATTGATGCAATAGCACTTGAGGACATGCTTTTTGTACAATTCCCAACTTGTAACTATAGTTTGAACAAAATTTAACCAAATGTATAGATGATGCGATTAGGGAATGCAATGTTGTGCATCACTTTATTGAGCAATTTGTTTGACGATGCATGCTTTATAGATTTTTTTCTTTCTAGGTGGTATTGTGTCGTTTTTATATATTTTTCATGTATTTGTGAAAAGTGCTATTTAAACAGTGCATTAAGTTGTTTCACGAGTGTTGAACAGTGTGCATTTAGCTAATTCATTGAAGCTGTTTTAAGGCGAGGATTGTTGCCTTCAGAGGGTAAATTTCATTTATATAACATCCATGTGTTACCTTGTCTACTAATCTCTGATTTTAATATAATTTTTTTGCTTTCCTAGGAGGGATTTACAAATGGTAAATTAACGCTCTCAGCTGGCAGTAAGGTTAGTGAGCATGTTAGTATTAATATTTCATTATTGCCCCAGCAGCCAAATATAATCCAATTGGTTTAATACTATATGCCTTTAACAATGAAATACAAATTATAATTAAGGTAGTGTTCCAAAAATAAAACATTATCTACTTTACCTAATACAACACTAGTTTAGAATGGTTAAAATTTACAAAAATATATGTTTGCCCAACTCGATAAAGTTTTCATATTTTAAAAGTTGAAATTAAATTGATACAAATATCAAATGTTTTTCAGCCATTTTTACATCTTTTTTTTTCATTTTCACAAAGTGCTATTTAAACAGTGCGTTAAGTTGTCTCGCGAGTGTTGAACTATGTGTTATTTAGCTGGTTCATCGAAGCTGTTTTAAGGGGAGGAATGTGGCCTTCAGAGGGTAAATTTCATTAATATAACATCCATTTGTACCTTGTCTACTAATCTCTGATTTTAACGGTTTTTTTTCCAGGAGGAATTTACAAATGGTAAATCAACTCTCTCTGCTGGTAGTCAGGTTAGTAAGCATGTTAGTATTAATATTTTATTATTGTCCCAGCAGCCAATATAATCCAATTGGTTTAATACTATCTGCCTTTAATAATGAAACACAAATTATAATTAAGGTAGTGTTCCAAAAATAAAACACTATCTAATTTGACTAATACACCACTAGTTTAGAATGGTTAAAATTTACAAAAATATGTGTTTGCCCAACTCGATAAAGTTTTCATGTTCTAAAAGTTGAATTTAAATTGATACAAACATCAAATGTTTTTCAGCCATTTTTACTTTTTTTTTTCATTTTCACAAAGTGCTATTTAAACAGTGCTAATATGATTAACATAAGGCCATAAATTAGCTTTCCTTAGAGGAAAGTTAAATTAAAAAAAACAAAAAAAAAAAAAACAGTGCGTTAAGTTGTCTCGCGAGTGTTGAACAATGTGTTATTTAGCTGGTTCATTGAAACTGTTTTAAGGCGAGGAATGTGGCCTTCAGAGGGTAAATTTCATTAATATAACATCCATTTGTACCTTGTCTACTAATCTCTGATTTTAACGTTTTTTTTTTTCCAGGAGGAATTTACAAATGGTAAATCAACTCTCTTTGCTGCCAGTCAGGTAAGTGAGTATGTTAATATTAATATTTTATTATTGCCACAAGCTAATGCTGGTATGAGCTTATAAATAACTTTTTTATGTAAACTACATTTAATTTATTGTATGCTTTTACACATTTCTCTTTTCTTTTTCCAAGGGTATTGAACCAATCTTTTTTTACTTGTTCGCAAAGTCCTATTTAAACAGTGTGGTAAGTTGTTCTGTGAGTGTTGAACAGTGTGTAGTTAACTGGTTCATCAAAGCAGTTTTAAGGCAAGGATTTTAGCCTTCAGAGGGTAAATTACGGTCAGTTTCAAAAATAAAACAATATCTATCTTACTTATTACTGATTAATAGTAACTTAGAACAATTTGAAGTTACAAAAAAATGTGTTTCCTCAACCAGATAATCATCAGAATGAGACCTTTTGTTTTTAGGAGTATATTGGTTGGGAAGTGTTTGGCTGAAGTAGATCTTTTTACAGAAAGTGGAAGTTATCTGAGTAGATTTTTCTCACCTACATTTTATTCTTTTTTTTTTTTTTTACACCATTGCTCCAGTAGTGAGGGGTGTTCCTGAAGGTTTTGAGTGGAAATGACTTGATCAGATTTACTTTGAAGAATTGCTGTATTGTTTGCAAAGGTGAGGGTGGTTGTGTGAGGATGGGTTAGGAGGTCAGCTTTATACACCTGGTAGAGGACGGGGGCCAGATGCTGTCCTTGGGTACACCAGCGTGGAGAAAGTAGCTTTGGGAAGGTAGCTTCGCAGGATTAAAATAGTAGGAATGCAAAGGTTTAACAAGTATGATTTGTGCCAGAAGTGGAAATAGTATTAAAGGGGGAAAAAGTTTTTTTTTAAACATATTTATTAATCCATTTATGTTTAGCGGCCTAATTGCTCATGTAAATTAATTAAAATATTTATTTTTTAATTTTCTGTTTTTTGTTCTTTACTCAATGATTGTTCTTTTAGAATTGTTGGCCAAACTTATTTTTTGGTATGCAAAATATGAATATGAAATTTAAGGGTGGTGTAATTTTGCCCATCACTGTATTTTCTAGATAAAAGTGAAATCAATAGAGAAGACAAGAAAACAAAAGAAGACAAATTTCGCAACTCTGTTGAAGATACCATGGACAAAAACTATGCAATCCTCTTTATTTTTCACTATCTAGTATATAATTTGAGGTAAGTTAATCTGAGCCAGTAGTCGAACAGGACAGGCATACAGAGATATAATATTGTGGGATTTGAGGGACGACTGATCGGATTGATGCAACCGAAATGAAATTGCGACAAAAGAAATCCTGTCAAAGGGCGCCAGATAGTAGATAGAAAAAAAAAACTACAGTTATATAATCCAGTTTAATGCGTAAGAGCGATTGATGTGGATATTGGGTGTCTTATCGGTGTTGTTGTTCCCGTCAATCGTTTTATTATTGAGCTATTACGTTCTGACTTTCGTGCCGACCACCGGTTTTGGTCGATTTACGAGCCGACCTTGCTGAACACGGCAACACACGACGCCAATCGTTGACACACAACTTTGTACCACTAAACCAGTGACCAGTACCAGTTCGACATGGCTGAGGTGGAAGAGTTCGTCGACTTGTTGGCCGGAAAAAGGGATATTATAAAACAAGAGTTCAAAAGACTTCAAGGTAAGTTCATTTTTTTCACTGTTTTTGTTTTGTTTTTTGTAGAAAACCAATTCGTTTTGTAGCTTAACTGGAAGGTTTTTTATAATTTTTTATTCTTTCCATTCATAACTGTTCAACTAATTCATCAATGAACACCAACTCATTCATACAGACTTCCAACTTACAATTTGACGAAAGAATATATATTTATACAACTGCATCTCGTCTAAATAAATTATGTCAATTCTGGATTTTACAACATAATGTAATAAATAATACGTCAATATAAATGTAGGTATAAATATAAAAAAATATTTTTAAAAATGTATATGCACCAAATTTATTAAAGTAATTTAAAGAAATGTGTGTAGATTGTATGTGAACAAATACATTTAGCACAACATAAATACTTAAAAACCCAAAATTGTGTACGCTAAATGTAATCAATATATCAACATTCTTAAACAGTGTTTTTCTGGATAGGTTGTTATGATATTGATTGCATCACCTCTGAATACAAATTAAAATTGATTTATAGTGTAGTATATTTATCAGTGTGATTCACAGCAGATTTATCCCCCCCCCTTATTAGAAAATTTTTTCTTAAATTTTATTTATTATTCATTAGGTCACTAATCCAATGACTGATCTGTTTTTAAAGTTTGGTAAATATGCTACAGTTTTCCAGTCTGATTTCATAGCATTTGAACACTTCATTTTATGATCATTCTTAAACAATATTTTTCTGGATAGGTTTTTATGATATTGATTGTATCACATCTGAATACAAATTAAAATTGATTTGTAGTGTAGTATATTTATCAGAGTGAATTTATTACTAATAAATCTTACTAGAAGATTTTTTCTTAAATTTTATTTATTGTTCATTAAGTCACCAATCCAATGACTGATCTGTCTTTAAAGTTACGTAAATATTCTACAGTTTTCCAGTCAGATTTTGTAGCATTTGAACACTTCAGATAAATAAAAAAACTAGGAACACATTCCAAGAAAATAGCCATTTTCACTGACAGTCAGATGTCACTTAAGGCCTCAGCCTCAAGCGAGGTAAAGGCAAAAAGCGTAAGAAGTTATTGACAATGGCATGGGCCCCTGGTATTTAGGACATAGAGGCAATGAGAAAGTGGACATGTTGGCCAAAAAAGGAGCATGGATTCTCTAGACCCTGAGCCCTATTGTGGTATATCTTATCACAAAAAATCTAAATCTAAAAATGCACCCTTAATGAGGCCGTAACCTGATGGAGCAACATCCCAGGCATGAGGCATGTGAAGAGATTCTTAGAAGGGCCATCTGTAAGACTTACAAAGAAATTACTGGAAGGTAATCACAACAGAACTAGGATTCTGGTTTGACTCCTGACAGGGCAATAAGCACAGGGCACCTAAGAAGGCACATACTCCAGATAGGATACAAACAGAAGAAACACTGTTTTGCAATTACGAGAGGAAAATCTGTAAGGAAGATCCTATTAAGGTGCCGCTGGATGGCTATGGAGGTTGACTAACATCCTGAAGTTTGCCAGTGAGTTATAAAAGCAATTAGGCAACAAATAAAAACTACTACTAGAAACTACTCAGGTCCAGGTATTGAAAGGTCTTGTGGCCTCCTCATTTGTCCCTATCCCTATCCCTAGGACACCAATGAACCCCACGAAGCATACATGCTTTCAACTTAAATTAAAAAAAAATCTATTTAGAGATTATATTATAAGTAGGAAAATTGGCTGGTTCAATGTAGTATATGAGTTTGATGCAAATTAAATTTCAGTATGGATGATATTCATGAAAACGATAGTAATTATGTAAATGTTTCCTATAAAAAGTTAAGCTTAGTTGTATAGCAAATATGTAGAATACTAGAAGTGCAGCAAAATTCCTTGTTGTATATACAATGTTAAATGTTCAATTTGGCTGACATAATTACATACATGATAAAAATAGGAGGTATTCTATGGTTACAATATTGAAAATTTGAGGTGCTTTATTGCAACTAAATTATTCAAAAGGTAGACCTCAGAACTGGCAAAATTATGCCCTATGCCATATGGTTTTAGTTTAGTTAAAGTTTATTTAATACATAATGTTATGCATACCTTGGAAAAATGTAAATACAAGGGAAAATGGCTAGGGCCATTGTACTTCCTAGTGGCAGAGGACTAAATATATTTAAAGAATTAATAATTTAGCCTAAATAAATAAATAAAAAGTGAAGAAAATTTATTTAGAATACAACAGGTGTCTTAAGACAGAGCTGTTGTTTGACTAGATTATTATTACAATTTCTAAGCTAAATATACATTAATTTAATAAATAGATAACTAAATAAAATGTTTAATAAATAAATTAAAATGCCATATTGGAGCTATTGAAAATATGTAGCACTTCTTAGCAATATGCCCAATCATAAAATACTGTCATAAAAGATGTTTCGAAAAAAGAAAAATTAGAGTAGGAAGAATTTATAAATTATTTGAATATATTTTCACCTCGGTGAAAATATATTGTAATATAATACCAGTTTATAGATAGATACTAGAAAACCTCTTGCCACAAAAAATTAAAGAGGATTATATAACTATATTTTTTCTTTCGTAGTGTCACCTTTGACAGATGAATCGGTCTGTGGAAATTTTATTTCTTTGTGCAGGGGTTTTCCTTTACAACAAAGGATATTTGAATATGACACAAGTAAAATTGTTGATGTGTACAAATTTAAAAATAAATTAAAACAAAATCTGGTATTTTAAGAAAAACTAAAATAAACACTCTAGCAATGTGAAGAATCATCCAGTGATGATAAATACTTATGTGTGTGTGTGTGTGTGTGTACGTGCACTGTGATCCTTCTAGGTTAAGTCTCACTGTCTGTTTTAATCTCTTTGAAGGATTATTGGGAATAGTATGAGATGTTAAGGGACTGGGCGTAAAGAAAGGGATTTGTGGAGTTTTATGTACCAGAATTTTATGACAACTTTCACAAAAGGAATGTTAATGTCATTCCTGCGATGTATAATTGGGAACATAGTATGGAGGTGTTTATTACTTTTCTGAGGATTTTTGATTGGGAAATCTGTATACCCCCTTGTCCCTTTGACACGGTTGTGGTTTCTTCCTTCAGCAGAGGTGCTCATATCCAAACAGATGACACACAGTTAGTTATTTTTGGCCCCTTGACAAATTGTTTTGTAGAAATTTGTTTTCTTTATTCAGCTGAATTGCATTAAGTCTTCATGGACTTAACTTGTAATGTAATACATATTTTTATCTAGAAAATGGAAAAAAGTGGATTAATTTTTTTCTCTTATACCGATCCTTTTGGCACAATTGTTTTGTGGAAATTTGATTTCTTTGTGCAACTGAATTATATAAACACATTCAGACAATACACTTATCAGTGAAGTCTATCAAGTTAACTCGTTATATAATAATTATAGAAAGTGAAAATTAAATGAACTTATACCCTATGTCAAAGACTTGGGCATCTTATTTGATAGTAAGTTAGAATGTAAGGAGCATATTATCAGTGTTAATAAAAAAGCTTCTCAAATTCTTTGTTTTCTAATAAGAAAAACAAGTAATTTCATAACACCAATTTTTCATTAATATTGTACAAAAGTCATTTGCCATAGCGTTGAATTTTTATTGTATTCATTTTCTATTTCCTCTTATTTCATACACAGAACTGTATCATCTCTATACTTTTCAGCGCTAGCTGATAGAAGGTATTTTTTGATCTATTATTTTTTTTTACCATATAATCAATGGCTGACTAAATTATTCTGACCTTGTATTACTTTCATTACTGACATAGTTCACCAATAAATAGAATAATGACAGATGGAAATAAGATATGTCCAAATATTGATTTTTTTTATCATCTAAATTCTTAATTTTAATTAATTTAAACATAAATTAGTTGTTGACTCTGGTTGGTGATGTACAAAAGTAGTTGGGCCTTAAACCCTCCTAGATAACAGGCAGGGCTACATAGTTATCTTTTTGGTTTAATTTTAACTTTTGCGTTATTCACATAGTCCTAAATTGTTTTGGTGGGCAAGCTTCACACCTTCCACTGACAAAGACACTCTGTCTAATTGTTGTCTTGTTTTTATTAAATTGAAAGTTATTGTTTTTATGTTTCATCACATTTCTTTTCTTTTTACATAATTAAATATTTATTTAATTTTTGTTTAGAATATTGCTACTTAGATCATACTGGGTGTGCTCCTTATCCCTCATCACTTATAGCAAACTGTTTGAAAGATCTGACTGAAAATGTTTACAGTAACCCACATTCAAACAGTATTACGAGCAAACTCTGTTCAGACTCTATCGATCAAGTTCGCTTCAAGTAAGATTCATCTTGTAAGCCTAATAAGATGTATTATTTTGTTTAATTAAAGAAATGTATGTTTATAGAATTTTGAACCACTTTAACACAGATCTAAATGAGTACAGTGTGATTTTCACATCTGGGGCGACTGCTGCGCTTAAGCTAGTGGCAGATTCATTTTGCTGGAGTGACATAATTGACAGTGATGAGTGGCAGCCAAAAGGTTATGATTGCTTGTGGTTTAATTTGTGTTTTATTTCAATGAGTTATGTTTATAGAATTTTCAAATGATTGCGGAGATTTTGTATATATGGAGGATAACCACACATCGGTCCTTGGGATGAGGGAAGTTGTGACAGGAAACGGAGCCAAGATCCATTGCCTGCCTCATTCAACTGCAACTGATACATTCTCTAATGGTACATCTTACACAAATTTCAACAGGTTCAAGTCGAACTCCTTGTTTGTTTATTCTGCCCAATGTAATTTTTCTGGTGTGAAATATCCACTTGATTGGATTGAAAAAGTGCATCAAAACATCTTAGAAGGGACAACAGGAAAGAGGTATTTTTTTCTTATTTTATTAAAAAATATTGAAAATTAATGGTTAATTTATATTTGCAGAAGTAATTGGTACTGTATGCTAGATGCGGCAACATATGTCTCAACAAACAAACTGGACTTGGGAAAATATAAACCGGATTTCATCTGTATTTCATTCTACAAACTTTTCGGGTACCCGACCGGCTTGGGCGCCCTTCTTGTTAAAAACACAAGTGCCAATGTATTGTATAAAAAATATTATGGCGGAGGTACTGTTCTGATAGCGCTGAGCTGCCAGAGCCGTCACGTTCCTAAACCTGTTATTCATGAAAGGTGTGCATTTTAATACGTCAGTACCTCAAGACGTCAAGAAGTAAGACAAACTGAATTATTTGACATTCAATTTATGTGGGATGACATTTATTATTGGAAATCTTCTTGGGTGTTTCATTAATCAAATCTATCAGCACTACGAATCATTTTGTAAGTTTGTAATTGGGGTCAAAAATTTGAGAGATATGTTGTCTGCAGAGTGATGTGCTTGTAATTTGGTCATGACTGATCATTTTTATCTGTCAACGTGTCATTGAAGAGCAACTCATTATCAATACTGGACTGGAGTCAGTATTGGATCCAACTCATATGACAGAACCACCCAGAGAGGATAAAAAGAGGAAAGTGATTGGTAATGATCAAGTTACTCAAAAAAGCTAACTATTTCACAAGGGAAGCTATGGACGTGGAATCACCGATTTTAATGAAACCTTTTTAGTTTATACTAGGTTAGAACAATACACATGTCATTTTTACTAATGTTCACATTAAAAAAAAAATTGTTTTCTACCAATGTTATGCACGTATTTCAAGGTTGTTATATCAGTTGATTATTTTTTTACCACAGAAAGAAAAAATAATATGCAAGTTCATATTAAATGAGATTAGATATATATTAAAAAAATTAAAAAAACCTCCAGTAAATTAGGTCAAGCGCCTTAATGCCTCAGATTTTATCTGCGTTCAACTTACATCCATGAAAGCACGTTCTTACATTTTACTTTTGTTGCTCAACTTTAAAGAGGTTAATTTCTCTTCTTTCAACATTTGTCAACAAAGTTTAGATTTTTGTATCTCAATACAAATTTTAACTTTGGTCTTGGAAACTTAAACAATTATCAAACTCTTTTGCCTTCCGTGATTTTATTAGATTTCTTTTTCAAAAATTACAAAAATGTGATAACGTGTGGTGATTATGACTGTTAATCAATAATTATTCAGAAATTGTGAGATGCGGTCTGGTGTGATGTAGGTTTCAGAAAAACATTTTCTTTATCGTGCCAACATTTTGATCTTTAAAAGACGGAGATCTTTAAAGATCGAAACGTTGGCATGATAAAGAAAATGTTTTTCTGAAACCTACATCACCCCAGACCGCATCTCACAATTTCTGAATAATGGCGATTACATTGAACCAACTTACCAATCTGTAAACTTACAGTTTTTAGAACTTTTTAAACTACTTATACTATGCCAAACTTTGCCTTTGTAAATAAATTTAGAACTAAAGATAAAAAATTGACCATTTAGGGATTTATCCTTATTTTTCTCATTTATGACATTAAATTGTTACATTGTTGATATAAGCTGAAATAAGAGAAATGCAGCTTTCACACAATTGTAGTTATATTAAAGTGGATAAAATCCAGAAGGTTTATGAATTTTTAAGTGAAACACTGAACATCAGAGGAAAAATAATTGCCCCCCCTGCTGATCTAGCCCAAAAATGTTTATTTGTTGTTTCTTATCAAAATTAATATTTAATGGTTTTAAGAGATGATAAAAATGAATTGATAGTTTTTCTCAAAAATAATTTTTGGCCTACTTTACTGGAAGTGTCTTTTAATTTTTCTAGACTTTTATATAATTATCTAATCTCATGTAATACGATCTGTCATATATTTTTCTATTTTTCTTATCCTAGTTTAAAAAATAAGGCCAAAAAAGCTTGGTCAATGTCTAATATTTTTCAACTGAGTAAAAAAAAGTTTAATTGTTATCGGTGATCGCACGCCTGTAGCCTCCCTCAACAGTAAGAGCAAAGGTCTGAAATGCTCAAAATCTATTTTGTTTGTTTGAAATAAAATGAAAACATCTCCATTCCATAAATAATGGTGAAATTAACATGGTTGACTTTAATCAAAATTTGAACGAATTTAAATTCATATCCACTTTACATTTGTAAATAACTGTTTTTAGAATTGAAATTTAATTTAGAACAAAAGGGTCTTGTCATATTAAATTTGTGGTCATTTTTATGTTTTGGAATGTCAAATTATTAACAATTTTATTGCAATAACAATTCATAGTTAATTATATTAAGTTTTGCATGTAATTTTTGATATGTGTATAACTTTATAATGTGATAAGTGGATTTTATACGCTCTAGTGGTTTTAATAGAGAATGAAAAAGAAAAAAAAACAACAACTCTAATAAGTCATATTCTTGCTTATTATTAATATTGCTATAAAAACTTATGCCTATGCAACTTTCATCCAATAGCTAGGAGAAAAGGAAATGGTAAAGAAGACTTCAATATGACACCTCTGAGAAGAAAGTACTTTATTAAAGAAGCGAAAATATTAAAAGGAGGAAAACCATTAGCAGAGCTTGGCCACAATTAACAAAAACATTTAAGTGTAAAATAGGAAATCCTTCCAATTCAAAAAGAAAAAACTAAAATTTCAAGAAAATTTGTGAAAAAATGGTTACAAGATGGCATGGATATACAACAGTCGTATATATGTATTTTATAAAGTAATTACTAAACCAGAAATGAATAATTAAAAAGGACAGGAAGATAATGAAAACGGAAGAAGAACCATCAAGGTCATCACAGGGAAAAAGAATATTGATCACACAATTAAAATGATTTAAAAAAATCAAATTTTGGCAGGTTTTCAAACAATATTGGTCAAACTTTGAGAAAAAGTTAAACAAGAAAAAAAATCATTTTCATTTTATAGTATGAGAGAAAAAATGGACACTCCAAGAGGCTGCAACAGTTTCAAACCATAAAATCCAAATGTTCCTAGTTAAAAAAAAATTGCCTAAATTTGATGGAAAATCTTGATATAATGCGTCATAATGAGCATTCGAGAAATTGATATAAAAACAAAAACTAAAATGATGAAGGTGTAACAGAATGGGAACAACAACAGTGTGGAACTGTAAACTAACAAGTATCAGGGGAATAATAACAATTACACTTATAAATTAACAAATAGACTCTATTTAGACACCTGGATGAATGTAACTCTATCTAATGTACATTTGGCAAGACAAGTACAAAAAAATGAAAAAAAGTTGTTTTTCAGTGATTTTGCAACATGTATTCAAGAGTTTTTAATTTTATAAATTCAGTGCGATATACAGGTTATCCTACATGGAACACAAGTTGAAGAAGATGCAGTTTGAATAATTTCTGTGGAAATTTTGAACATCCAAAAATGAAGAATGGGAAAAAGACTTTAATTCACTGTGATTTTATGTTTCTTCTATTTTTATACAATTTATAAAATTGATTTATTATTTTTTGTTGTTGTATAAATGTTTCAAAACCCATCTAAAACTGACAACATTTTTTCTTTATTAATAGAAAATGTTACTACTTAAAAATTAAAAATGTACACTAATTATTGTTTGTAAATAATTGTATCCAATTATGATATACAGTATTTACTTTTAGGTTTGAGGATGGCACATTAAATTTCCTTTCAATATTGTCTTTAAATCATGGTTTTTCATCATTGTATGATATGGTTGGCAGTATGGACACTGTTTCAAGGTAGTTGCTCATTTATTAAGTTTTTAATATTTAATGTTTTCTATCTTTTTATTTTGGTCTCAGGTACTGTTTTAACCTTGCAAAGTATGCATTTAATTCTTTGCTTAAGTTGCATCACTCCAATGGGAATCCTGCTGTCCATTTGTATACCGATTCAGCCTATGATGACATCACAACACAGGGAAATATTGTAAATTTCAATTTGCTAAGGGCAAACGGCGATTACATTGGTTATGCTGAGGTAATTTATTTATTTTTTTATTTATTTTTTATTTAAAAAAACAATTAATTTTTGTTTGTTAAGGTTTTGAACATAGCTAATCTACATAATATTCAATTGAGAACAGGCTGCTTTTGCAATCCTGGTGCATGCAGGAGGCATCTAGGCCTGACATTAACTGATATCAAGAAGCATTATCAGGTACATTAATGCTATAAAATTGTTTTAAAAATGGAAATATAAGTTTTACAATTGTAGTCTGGTCATGTTTGCGGTGATGACAATGATTTGGTAAATGGCCAGCCAACCGGTTCAGTAAGGGTATCGTTTGGATATTACACAACAAAAGAAGACATCGACTATTTCATTTCTGTCCTACGAAAGTGTTTTGTCAAAGAGCCAGCCGTTTTTAAAATGCCCGCACTTTGGACTTTCATTGCTTCAAATCTGAAGAAGAAGTTTGGAAAGTCAAAGGATAAACTCCTGCCGATCGAAACAATTGAAGCAATGAAATACATTTACTACTGGTATTCAGACAATCTGACCTGGAGCCCACAGATAGATAGTCAACAAGAAATGGTTCTAGAGGAGAAATATAATAAGTTAGACTTTATTTTAGCTTTTTATATTAATTGTATTGTCTTATTTTAATTATTTGTAAATTTGTAGTAAGAGTGAAGTTTATATTTCTGATATTTTTGTTTATCCTATCAAATCGTGTGGTCGATACAAAGTAAGGAAATGGGAATTGGATTCTAAAGGATTGATGTAAGACTAACATTAAAATTGCAACTTTTATTATTTCTTAATTAAAATAAATAAATAAATAGGTATGATCGACAGTGGATGATTACAAATTCATACGGTGTTGCCTTGACTCAGAAAAGGGAGCCACGAATGTGCCTGATCAAGCCTGTGATCGACACGACATTGGGTAAACTTCATCTGACCTCTGAAGGTAAAACAATTATAAAATCAAATTTCTTTAGTTTCTCATGTTTTTTTTTTTTGTATTTTAGGGTTTGAAAATGTCAGTGTTGACTTAGAATACCAATCTGTGATGAGCACAGCAGAGGCATCTTTCTGCCAAAGTAAAGTTTGCCAGGATAGAGTGCAGGGTGTCGACTGCGGGGATGAGGTTGCTAATTGGCTGTCAAAAGTCCTCGGTAAACAAGGGCTTAGGCTGATTAGACAGGTACCCGAAGACACAAGGGCTCATAAAACAAATAAAGGTGTGTTACCTTTAATAAAGTTTTGAGATTTCTTTTTAATTTTTGTTTTGAAAATTTAGGTGAACTTTCCCTTGTGAATCAGGCACAGTACTTACTTATCAATAAGAAAAGCGTCGACTGGTTGGGTGAGCTTTTAGATGAAAACAGTGATTGTCCTAAGGTAAAATATAAAAAAAAACCTGACAAACTTAAAACTAAAAAAAAGCTTAAATTAAAAAAATTTATATAATTTCCACTCAATTTTTTTCTTTTCTACTTGCATATTTTCTCCACTTCATGGAAAAAATTGAATCACGGATATGTAACTTAACTCTACCTAACCTAAACCACCCCTAGATGAATTATAACTGTCTCTAGCACAAGCCCTAACCTAACCCTTACCCCTCCCTAGCACAAGCCCTAACCTAACCCTAACCCGAACCCGAACCTAGCACATGCCCTAACCTAACCCTGCCCATCCCTAGCACAAGCCCTAACCTAACCCTGACCCGAACCTAGCACAAGCCCTAACCTAACCCTAACCCAGCACAAGCCCTAACCTAACCCTGACCCGAACCTAGCACAAGCCCTAACCTATCCCTTCTTTGTAAAAAGATTGAATAACACACTCACTCCACCATTTACCATTTCAATTAACCTGTCCCTCATCCTAATCTAACCCATCATAATTTGTCCCTAGCTCTAGCCTTATCTAATCCAACCTATGTGCACAAATGATCCTCATAAAAAATGTCTATTCTTTTCAGCCCAAAAACATATCCATGTTAAAATAAAAAACTACCAACTTTCATTATTTGCTTTTCTTTTAGGAAAGTATGATACACAGATTCCGATGCAACTTTGTAGTGACAGGCTTGAAGAATGAATTTGAAGAGCAGGAATGGCAGCAAGTTAAAATTGGCGGAACGTTATTCAATGTAGATCTTTATCAAATTTGTTTGAAATTTTCATCTCATTGATGACATGATTGTAGGTCGATGGGCTGTGCAGTCGTTGTCAGATGATTTGCATAAATCAAGACACCGGGAAGAAAACGAAAGAGCCACTGACCACACTGTCCGCATCAATGCAAGGAAAGCTGAAATTTGGAATTTACCTGTCAAAAGTGAGCAACACAAAGTGCGTTCTTGCCGTTGGGGATTCCTTGGAAATCGTCTTATAGCCCAGAGGACTTATAGAAAATCGAAAAAAAAAAAAAAATGGCTGAATTCTACAGGGCGATTTATATCCCCTTGTAAATTTGTAACTAACCAGAGACAGCGATAGTACTTTTTTAGTAAAACTTTTTGTAAAATATGGTTGTTGTTTACTTTGGATTCCTCTGGATTCCTGATGGTTGTAAACAACAATTTGTGAGTAGAACCATATTTTGCAAAAAGTGAATCTACTTACCCCACCTTCATCATTTCTAATTTTTAATAATGCATTCACTCAGTAGTACTGTACAAAATCAAAATGGCACGATTGGGAAGTCTGTGATAATTGTAGTCTTGTAGTAATTTAATACCAAATTGCACACAAAATAGATGTTTGACACATATAACAAAATTTAACAGCAGAGTAAATATGAAAGTAATAATTTTGAAAGCAATGATATGAATTTAACATTTTTGTTTTGTTTTAACCGATAAAATATTCTGTTAAATAAATTTAAAAAGAGTGCCGGAAGCTGCAATGGTTAAGGCATTGACACGGTAACTCATCATTAGAAAGTCTTGGGTTCGAATCTCAGCTGCCCTGAATTTGGTCTCTATGTACTTCCTAAAGGGTGTTTTCAATGGAAAAACCCTGGAACACTGGGGACTGATATCTCTTGTGTTGCAGCTCCATTAAAATATTTAATATACATGAAATAAATTATTTAATGCTTAGTATAATTTAGAAATTTTTTTAGAACATATGTAGGCAATTAATTTATAATAAAATACAATATATTTTACGAATATTGACTTTTCCCTATTTACTATCATCTGGCTTTCTTGGCTGATTTTGGATTGCGTGTTCTTGTTTTCCTTGGAGTGATAGATGGTATGGGTTTTCTAGGTGTACAAAACACATCTTCGTTGTCGTTCCCATCAGCATCTTCGTCTGCTGCTTGTGTTTTCTTCTTGGAGCCATCTTTGTAAGTGATGAGATCATCGATTAGATCCAGGCCTTCATTGGCAATTTCCTTCAGCTGCGGCTTGTTCACAGATTTGTTGGCCGTGTTGAAAATGGCGACTATTGAGTTGTACACCTCTTTGCACATGAGCCTCTCTTTGAAATGTGGGATGATGTCGCAAAGCTTTCTAAGACTCTTCTCGTTGAAGCTGAGCTGGTTAAGACAAAATGCAAGATTTCGCCACTGACTCTCGACATTAGTTTCCCTCATCCTTATACAAATTTTCTCAATAATTTGCTCGCTTTGTCTTTCTTTACTTATCAATTTCAATATAAACCTGAAAAAAAAAAAATATTTTGAAAACTTAACAAATAAATAATCAAATCAACATACTTCATGATTCTCTTGAAGACCTCGTCTTCTATAGGCTCTTCCCTATTTACAAGCCTTGATATTATATCTGGAATAATGTTGTAAAGGGAGTTCCCTTGTTGAGAAAGATCGATCAACAGACTCTGAACCATCTCTGTTAAAAAAAAAAATCTCGTTACTGATTATAAATGATCAACATAATAAAAAGACTTACCTGCAATGGATGTGTCTGAATCTTCAAGACAAAGGCACAGCTCTGACATCTGACCTCTTGCTTTTATCATTTGCCTTTGAATCAAATGTTTCAGTATAATGACAACATTTTTTCTTACTGACGTCGATGGATCTTTCAGCCTAAAGGGGATGAAAACGAACACATAATTATTCCATTATATATCATTCATAATACTTAGAAGAATCATGAGTGATGCAAAATGGATGTTTTTTTAAAAATCATATCAAACATGAGTTGGTATTCTTGGGCCAAAAGGCATCACAACATATGTTTGGCAAAATGATTTTTAGCCTTCAATTTTTGGAATAAGATGATGCCGCTAAGTAAGACATTCAGGAATAACCCTACTTATATCCTTGATTTCAAATCATCTGGCTAGGATTATTGACATGCTGAAGATGGAAAAATGCCAAAATATCTGATAGACCAACCCAGCTAGGATAGGCAGGCCAAATTTTAGAAGTAAATATTAAGTAAATTACTATATAAAAAGACATTTCAGCATTTTTTTAAAGATAAAATAGTACAATTTGAGCATAATAAAATTGAAATGTAGCTTGAGCAGTCAAGGCAGAAGTTTAGTTTATTTTGTATAACGGTGAAACAAAGTGGATAATTGATAAAGGGAGATGGGATTACTGATTCTAATAAATTTTTTTTTATGATACTAGGACAAAAAATATTAGATTCATGTCCAAGCATTCTTGCCAATGGTAGGACCATCTTGTTACAAAAGGCCTCATGCATCTTCTATCAGGCATAGTTCAGAAAAGGCCAACCCAATCAAAATTTTCCTTTCAGTAAAAGTCGTATAAAATAATCTCTAGAATAAAATTGTACAATAAAAATGTGGGATTCCCATTTAAAATATCAAAGTTAGTGTCATTTCACAGCTAGAGGAGAAAGTTATGTTAAATCTGTTACCACCACGTGATTCCTAGCCAAAATTAACTTGGGGTTTTACAACACCATTTTTCGTTAAAGTTAATCATTTCTGAATTAAATAGGTGGACTATAGAAGTTGATACTCTGTGTTGTATATTGTAGAAATACATAACTTGTAACCGCACAACATAGCAAAGTAGATTAATTTTTTTTTCATTAAACATGGGTGGTATATTTTACATTCTATATTTCTTTTTTTCAAACACACCGGAATCCTGTTTAAACCAAGAAATAGGGATGGGATTTTTATTTGTGGTTATTTACCTGGAGTAGATATGTTGTGACCATGGCTCGACAACGTTTGGATATCGCATCAAGATGTCACCAAAGCCAAGGACCAAAATTTGACGCACCGCATTATGTTTGCTCTTTGTCATCATAGTTATGAACAGCTAAAACAGATTAAAATTTTATAAGCCAGTTTTTTTTGTTTAATTTCATCATAGAAAAAAAGAACATACTTGAATATGCTGTTTGCAGAAGTTTTGAGACACCATCATCAGTTTCGCCAAAGCCACCGTTGCAGATGAAAGAAGGTCAATGCTTATTTTCACCGTATCAGAGTTGAAATTTTTACATATTTTTACTACAAGTTCTCTGTTTGAAGACAAAGGTTAAATGTGACCAAGTTAATTAATTTATTAATTACTGAGAAAGTTATGCTTGTTTTACTTCAAGTGGAATTCTAATGTTGAGCTGTCGTTGATCAAATGTTCACAAATCTGCTGTGTAGAAGATACAATATGTTCAGCTGCAGCCTCTTCATTATCTTGCCTATATAATTTTTCCTGAAATGAACTTAGTAAATAAAACTGAAGTAAATAAACTATGTTTAATAAATTAATTACTTACGTCTTCATCATCGGAATCAGAATTGTGGTCATTGTCATGTGTCGTTTTTGATTTCTTCAAGCAAGTTAGAACATCTTTTTCCAAGTAAATAAATTTCCTTTTGAAAACAGTTTTTTTTTTTTAAATTCAAATATATTACAGTAAACTAAAAAGCAAATAATATCACCTGAATATTATTTCACTATATATATGGAGTAATCTTTTCAATAAACTTTCATTATATATCACCCTGTCTTCATTTTCTTGTGATTCATTTGTACCTGAGTGATTTACAACAAAAATAACCGATATTGAATTCAAGATGTTTAAAAAAATACAAGAAAAAGGGAGAAGAAAAATAAAGCACCTACCTAAATTACTATTGTTGTCCATTTCAAACATTTTGTTGTACAAGGAAATCAAAATTTTGTCTGTGACCTTCTCAGGATAACAGCACAACTGAAAGTAATAAATTGCATCAACTGTTATGAAAAAAAAAACAAAACAGAATTTATTTTAGCCTACTTTGAACACCATATTTATGATAGCGATGGACATCGGAATGTAACCCTTGGAGGGAAACTTGTTAAAGTTTGCCACGAGGCAATTGACAGCCTTGTCAAAAATTGCGTTGTCCGAGTACAATCTATAAAACAGACATGTCAACGATTATACTGAATACAAGAGTAAATATAAGTGGGAAAACTTTACCTAATATATTTTCCTTCGCTTTTCGTTAGCCCGTATTTCCCAATCATTGAACACGTATATTCAACAATAGCAAGGTTGGTAGTTTCATCAGACAAGCCGAATTCGATGAGTACAGGAATATTTGAAGCAACTAAGGAGTTGTTGTGGCTAGAAGATTAATAATTTTGTTAAAAATTTGTATAGTATTTCAAATTAGAAGATTAAAGAGAGATTAAAAGTTGTAGATATACCCTTCCAGGCCTAAATTAAAAATGAACAAATAAAAAAAAATTCAAATATCGGACACCTCATTCCAAAAATCCTTAAATTATTAAGTAAGTAATGCAAGTTTCCCCCACCAACATTCCTCATGTTGAAATGTGTGGTGTTTAGTGACCGTTAGTCAATGATTATTTGGAGATCGTGAGATGCAGTCTGGTGTGACGTAGGTTTTAGAAAAACATTTTCTTTATCGTGCCAACGTTTCAATCTGTATTGAGATCATCTTCAGAGCCTGGGATTTATAAACATTGTTTAAATTTTACAAATCCATGTAAGATTTGAAAAAAATGAATTTATACAATACTAGAAAATTTTCAATTTAAAAAAATAAATTTATACAATGCTAGACAATTTTTGATAAAAAATGAATTTATAAAATGCTAGAAATTTTAGGTTAAAAAAATGAATTTATACAATGCTAGAAATTTTAGGTTAAAAAAGTGAATTTATCCAATGCTAGGAAATTTTAGGTTTAAAAAAAATGGATTTATACAATGCTAGGAAATTTTAATCGAAGTATTTGTACTCACTCAAAGTGTTTGTTTTCCGTGTAGATGTGTCATTCTGGTGTGTCGTGTTGAGAGTGCCAGTGAGATATTGCTGTTTTTTGTATATATACATTGGATTTTGATGGGGTGGGGAAGAAAGCCGGGATAGAAAGGCATTTTTATATGAGTCGGCTTCTTTGAGGTGAAAGGAGCCGACAATGAGAAAAAATGTGGGTAATGGTTTGGCCTGATTATCCTTTCAGGATTATATAGACGGGGATAATTAAGGAAAGCAAAGCCAAATTGTTGAAGAATTAGACTATGTAGAAATGTTTGATGTGTGGAATGTGATGATTGTTTTATATGTTGTATTATATGTCTTGTGTGATGTTATGATGATGTATGTATGTTAGTGATATTGAATTTGATTAATATTATTAATCAATAATATATTAATAATTAATAACCTACATCACACCAGTCTGCATCTCATGATTTCTGAATAATCATTTCTCCTGTTGTGTGATCCATTGTTGCTACAAATCTGTACAGGTTATGTCATGTGATCCTTTTTGCTACAAATTTGAACTGGCTATGCCTCTAAATTATAAGGGCTATGTTGCGATTACACAATTGTCACAAAGGCCAATTTGAAAGAGCAGGAAAACATTCAGTTTTTTCATCGAGCTTTCGATGAATATATCCCCTTCATCAAGCCTTTGAAATTATTAACTTTTCACATGGTTAACAAATATGAACATCTCCCTTCATACTGAAACTTATGGTTTCAAAAATAGTGAATTTACATGTTGATAGTGAAGCAAGATTTACAATCCATCCATTCTATAATGGTATTAACTCTTGAATTGAAGCTCTTATACTAAAGCTTGCTGAAGGAACTGAGTGTTTTCTTTTCTTGCAAATTGGCTTTATCAGTTTACAAAATAATTATTACTCCAGATTCGATAAAATCTTTGGATATTTTAATTTATAATTTAAAAAACCTGTTGTAAACTTATACTTATTTAATTTTGGTATTACTTTGCCATTAGGTCGAGAAGCATAAGAGCAGCAATACGGTTATCAACATTTTGATTGTCCTGCACTGCAAACTTTTCCCACAAGACTTGAATGAATTGTTTGTTTAAATCGTTGTTTGTCATCCACTGTGACATAAGTTCACCCAGGGCTAATTTTTGCATCATGTCAAGCTCTTTTATCAACTTAATAAGCCTTTGAGCAACCTACATAAAAAAATAAATAATTGATTAACATCATTCATTAAAAACAAGAGAAAGAAAATATTTACATGTATTGCTTGCATCTTGGGTGTTGGCTTACTCGAGTAAAGATAAAGAGTTTTATACGCATTTGTCACTGCATCCTTTATACCAGAAACATCGCAATGGACAAGAGTCAATATTGACCTCACTACTCTTCTGGAATCAGCAATGCCAAACTGGAAAGCTGTGGTGAAAAAATCGATGGCCTCTACCATTTCAATTTGATTTTTTACTTTTAAGACCTTTTCAATATCTTTACTAGCTTCAGTAATAAGATGAGTAAATTTGTATGTTTCCTGAAATTATTTTTAAAAGATTTATTGAAGTTTTTTCATTGACTAAATAAAATATTTACCTCATTATAAGAAACAATAGACTGTTGTTTTTCATATTCATCGGAAAAATTAATGCCCGTTAGTGTATCAGATTTGTCATTGGTGTTCATGAAAATTTTTTTAAACGTCACTTTGTAATATTCAACTTTATCTACTGTTTCTAAATTGCACCTGTAATTTTTTGTTTATTAGAATATTTAAAATACCTTTTATAATGATATACCTTATTTCTTTTGACGTTGGAAATTGAACCTCGCTTTGTTTTAGAAGATTGTACGCATCGACGAAATGCTTCTCTTGTATTAGGCTTTTAATTATTAACATCACATCTTTGACGGAAACGCTTTGTGTCGATGGAAGTTCAGTCAGTTCCTCGTCTTCATCTTTAATACAAAATAGATAAATAAATTAATAATAAAATTAAATAATCTTTATTTAAGATATTGGTTGAAATGGAAAAGATAGTGTCACGAGTGGGATTCAAACCCACGCGTGACACTATCTGACACTTTTTCATTTCAACCAATACCTTAAATAAAGATTAATTAATTGAAAGAATTTATTTGGTCAATAGGACCATGAAATATAATGGATTTAATAAAATTAAAATAATTTATACATGAAATTTAAAAAAAATTACTTTCGTTAAAGTGATTTGTTAAAGCTAGAATTAGATCGCCTTCTAACAATCTCCATGCATCTTCTAAAGAAATGGTCAACTTTGTCGAAAGTGCTTGCAGCTCCAATTTTTCTTTGACTAGCTCATTTTGTATTTCAACAATATTGAGCTGAAAATGGAAATAATTTATATTGCAATGTTTAGACTTAATTTAAACAAAAGCTCACTTTTCCTGCATACGGGTTCTCCTTGAGAGCAGTGGTAAAGAACAAGATGGCGTTTTTAACAGTAAAACAACTTTTATCGTTTAGCCTGCCCTTGGTAGTTTGCAACACAGGTAGAAGGACATCCATCGGCACAGCACGTTGTGCAGCTAATTTTACCCAGAGTTGAAGTACCTATAAAGCTAGATAAAGTCACCTGTATTTAAATAATTAATTGGTGTACAAACCTTCGATCTAACATAAGAGTTCTGATCTCTTATGTGGTTGTGAAGCAATTCAAACAGCTTCATTTTCATTTCTTTTTCCTCTGATGTCGCTGATGATTGTTTTCCATGGATGTAAAGAATTATTTCTGCAAAGGCGACCAATGTGGCATTTCTTATAGCATATGGCTGTAAATAATTTAAGCAATGTACACTTTGTAGTTTACAGATATACAGGGTGTATCAACTTCTATAGTCCACCAATTTAATTCGGAAATGATTAACTTTAGCAAAAAATGGTCTTATTCAAACCCCGAGTTAATTTCAGCTAGGAATCATGTGGTGGTAACAGATTTAACATAACTATCTCATCTAGCTGGGAAAAATTAACTTTGTTATTTTAAATGAGAATAATATATTTTTATTGTACAAATAGATTCTAGGGCTTATTTTATGCCACTTTTACTGAAAGGAAAATTTTGATAGGATCGACCAATTTGAGTTATGCCTGACGGAAGACGCTCGAGGGGAGTATGTTTTTTGTAACAACAAGATGGCCCTCCATGTTTATTTCAAAAACGATTAGCATTAGCACGTTAATTTAAGATAGGAATTGTCTCAGAATAGGGTAGGGGGGGAGAACATGCATGTCCCGCCAAAATTAACTGGATGGACTATAGAAGTTGATTCACCCTGTATACAAAATCTGAATCATTATTTATTGATAATAAATAAAAATAATACATGCAACGACGTATTGGTTGTACCTCCACAGTTAGATTTTTTAAAAGAATGTTTACAGATGGGATCAGCAGGTCTGGTTCATTTTCTGCCAAATCAGTTATCAACGTAGATATTGCCTTGTCGAGTCCTGCACCCTCTCCTCCAGAGACTGAGTCGACAAGCTCTTTAAGGAGTTTTGGCAAGACTGTCATTAATTTGTATTCGGTAACCATGGTGATAATTGTGCTAGATATCGCACTGGCGACGTGCTCATGATATTTTATCAACTGAATTCAAAGTGAATTAGTTTTATGGTGTTGTTACCATATTGAAACATATACCTGAATTGCCTTGGTGGTGAATGTCAACCCGTAGTTATAATGCATGACAAGGATTGATAAAATGTGCGCTATTGAATTTGCTAACGGTTTCATTTTGGCCTGAGCTATATCTGGATTTTCGTAAGCCTTGTAACAACAATTGCCAATCATACTAGAAAATCATTGTGACATTATGAAATTAAGAGCAACGGGTGTAAAATTGAATGTTTACTTGACGAAAGGAACATCTGCAACAGTGTCTGGCCAAAGGCAGGATATCCTTGCTTCTAAAACCGGGTACATCGCAACAAAAATGGATTTCTTTTTACCACCCCAGTCCCAAAGGTCTTCAGGTTTTAGATTTTTGTTGACTTTTGACTTCATCCCTTTCATTCTCTACAGGAAAAAAAAAACGAAAAAAAACAACGCCAATTTTGTTAAATGAAAGGAAAAATCAAATAAACTGTACCTTTGGTTCTGGAATATTATTGTCAGCATTTACTGCTAGTTTTTCTTCATAAGTTTTTATAAAAAGAAAAAACAAATAAAAGACCATTTTAATCACGTTGACTGCTTGCCTTTTTTCTGAAGGGTCATCAAAATTTAAAGCATCTTCGACATAATCTCTCAATGTCGAGACCACTAAAATAAGAATAAATTTTTTAAATTGACATAATGCATTAAAAAAAAAAAAAAAAAAAAAAAAAAAAAAATCACTTACAGTGTTCGATAACAGAATCAAATACTTCCTGGAGTTGTAAAATTGTTATTTCATTATCACAAAAAATGGAGTACACAGAGTCAAATTGTTTAAGAATCACTGGACAATTTTTGTTTTTGAGATCTTTTTTGACATCTGCACAGATAAAAACAATTACAGTTTAAAGAAAAATCTCATGTTAAATTTTACAGTAGTAGCAATTTTGGCATTCTACATGAATGCATTAGCAAATGCCATTTTATTTAAACTTAATAAAACTGTAAGTACTCTCAGTTGGTTAAATGTTTAAAGCACCAAACACTCTCAATAAAAATGTCACTTTAGGTGGAAAAAGAAGAGACAGGATTTTATTACAAAAGGTAAAGTTGCACGATACAAGATTTCATGCATCCATCTTTATAATTCAACAGTCATTAAAAAAGAAAAATACCAGTAATTTTAACTATAAAATTTAGTTCACTTGGCGTTTTAAAAGAGGAATCAAATTGTTTTTAAACAATATTGGTCAAATAAAAATTATGCGAAAAAAATCACCTTTGAGTCTCTTAAATGCTTCTGCACTACTGTATACTTCTCTGACGACATACTGTCCGCTTTCCTCTTTCTGTAAATCCTCCTTTTGTAAAGGGACCATAAAATCCCATTCTTCGTCCATTCTAAGTATTTATATTATAAATGTTATCTAAAACAAAGTGTAAATTATTCATTTATGCATCAGAAACTGTTCTTTAAGTTGAAAAAGGCTTTTTATATTTAAATTAGAGAATGTTATGTTTTAATTTAATGTGTAATAATAGTCCTTTGGTAAACTTTTTTGCATGCCCCTGTCCTGAGCAACAGGTGTCCTCATTGAACTTTCCTTGGCCAATTTGTCGGCCTCTTCATTACCCTCTTACCTCAGTGCCCTAGTACCCATACAAGGGTAATTTTATTTCCCCAATGTCTGAAAGGGCACTGATGCAGTCCCAAACGATTCTGAATTTTACCACCGATGTGGTCATTGCTTTCAGTGTCGCCTATGTGTAGGCTATCGTGGGTCTAACAACCGATATGTATAGCCTAGAGACATCTTTGGATTCAGTCCTCAACTTTTTCCACTAAGGCTTTTGCATCTGACTTTTTTCAACTCCGAATTAGAAGAATTTCAACTACAGTTAACATAAGGGGCTTAGGTCCTCATAGTGCCCTATTTTGTAGTTTTTTAAATTTTAATTATACACTCAAAAATCGGCAGTTGTATTTTGTTATTTATTTCAAACCACATGTAGTTTTATCATTATATAAATTACAACAAACCTATTTTAATGTAAACCATTTTAATCGAGACAGAAATTCATGAGTTTGAATAAAAATTATTTAATTATTATTATCATTTAAAAGAAAATGCACCAAAACACGAGAAAATCATCAGATAGGTTAAAATTTAATTAACAATTAATTATATAGTTTTGCTATTAATAATTAATTAAAATTACTTCTTCTGGAATCGAAGAGAACCTTAAGTCTCCTAGGCATCGAGTAAATAAGCGATCAGATTTCTTCTTGTGAACCAGAATCCCATTCTTCGACAGGAGTGGTTAGATGTTCAACGATTGTTGGAGGTGATGGACAATGTCTTTATCATGTCCCATAAGTGTCGTATGGGATTCATGTCAGGAGAAAGTCTTGGCTAATTCATTGTGGTCCCTAGATCCTCAAAGTAAAAGGTGATAACTCGAGCTATAGGTCAAGCATTATTAACGTGAAGTCCTTTAATAAGTGGAGCGAATGGGACCACAGCTTCCTAGCAGTCAAAAATCCATTATGTATGACAATCAGTTTGGTACAGGCCTGGACGTTGATTTCACCCCATTCCATAACTGACTCACATGACACAAAGTGTTCTCCATGTCTTCTCCACACAGGGTCCCGGTCCTCTGATTGCCACAGAGCAAACCGGCACTTTTTATGTGAACATAAACATGTGAAGAGAACAGCCTCCTATTGTTGAAATGCCACAACAAGATGCTGAGAAGCAAATAGTTGCCTTTCTGCTGCAGTAGTTGAGAACCTGAACATGTAGAGACTAGGCTATTCTTACAAAGCCTTCTGATGACTATTTTTGAACTCATCCTTATTTCATCAGGAAGCTTAACTGATGCTTCCTTAGTGCAGTAAGAGCAATAAAACTCTCTCTTTGATGGATGCAGTGCAGCACACCCAGGACTTGGACTATGTAATTGACGCTGTTAGCCTGGGCAAGTTCTTCTCAATTTAAAACCCATGCTTTAAATAAAAAGAAAGGTGAAATTGTACCGATTTTCTTTATTTTTAATAAAGTGTGTAAAAGGATTACTAGATTAATAACTCTATAAAGGTAAACAAGTTGTTAATTTAATCCATATATGTTTAGCAGACTTAATTGTCAATATTAATTATTTCAATTATACTTTTTATCTAAGTTCTTGGTTGAGATGAAAAAGTTACGTGCCACAAGCAGGATTCAAACCGACGACCTTTGGCTTTTGTGTCCAAATGGACTGAAGTCATGATAGCTTAAGTGGTTAGAGCAGCAGCATATTGAGCCTAAGGTCGTGGGTTCGAATCCCGCTCGCGATACTAACTTTTTCATCTCAACCAACCTTAGATTAAAAGTAGATTGAAGCAAGTTATTATGTTGTGTTTACATTTTAAGTCAATTATTAATCTTTATATCTAGTTATAAATATAAATAAATGTGTCCATTTTTTCTTTTTGTCTTTGAATATATAATTTGCATAAGTTATCATAGGGTTTGACAATTGTGAGGTATGACCATAGGGTTACTTTAGCCCTGAAGTTCGTCCAATGAGTCAATGGCATACCCATTATAGCTTTATCACTGGTTCTTTTAAGGCGTATGTTAATCTTTGGCTGAGAACTACTCCTAACCATAAATAGGGTTATTCTTTTTAACTTGCATGTCTGCTGCCTCGTTACCTGAAATTCCCTCTCGACCCAATTTAGCATAAAGATATTTGCAAATCCTAGTTTTTATGGAATTCAGGTAGTTTCAGACCAATCTCAGATTGGGTCACTCAAGTACCACATGTGAAGACGACTCAATAAGTGAAGTCAGTTCAGCATAAGTTCACCAACTCACAGACCAACACCCAGCAACAACTCGATTTCGGACATGTTTTTATCGCATGTTGTACGGCCAAATGATAACGTTTACGTTTATTTGGCGATACCTTATATGCTGAATTAATGAGGCAATTTGATCCTTTAGAGCATAGCTTAATTCTGCTGATTTTTAGCCCATCTTTCACAGATTTTTAAGTCAACTAAACAACTGATAGCAATAACAATTTAAAATATTTGTATCTTATTAATTTGTAAGTATTATTTCTTAGCACAACATGAAAAATGTTTCTTCAAACAGAATATAAATGAATAGACTTCAAAATGGTCAGTTTTTATTTTAAATGTACTGCATATTTTTTTAACAAATAATTGTCCAGTTTAAAAAAAAGTGTTTGAATAATTTTTTGTCCTGTAGTTACAATAAATAGATGAAATAAGAAAATTATCAAGTAGAACATTAGTAAAGTATGAATTAAATATATTTTTTGTGCTCCGTTTTCTAAGAATTATATAAACTTGTATCTAATCTAAAATCAGTTCAATTGGGCTAGAAAATTAAATCCTACGTAATTTCCCATTTGACATTTGTCAAGTCACGTTTAAAATGTAAATTGTTGAAAAGTCCTTGGTCGATTAAATAAAATTGAGGATTTGAGAGCCGTGGAGCGCCTTGGCCCCGGGCTTCCCGAGCCTTGAGGCCGGACGACTTTCCAAGCCTGAGGGCTTACCTGTGGAAAGGGGGCGGCGAAGGATTCCGTCTTCAAACGCTTTGGAAGCAGAGGAAGCGACGTCGAGAACACAGCAACGGGGTTTGTTATTTGTTTACTGATTGACGATTGTTAGGAAGCGGTTTGTGAAGTTGGGAGGTTGCACGTTCGTCCGTTCTCCCGCTCGAGTTGACCCTCGTGACGATTGGCTCCGCCGGCTCAACCTTCTTAGTTCTTCGTACCGATTGGCTCCCACGTTCGAAAATCGAGCCGGTAACACAAACTTCCCTACTCACAAAACAGATCGGGCGCTAAATTTACAATAAATGTATTACAAAAATTTTGTATTTTTGTCGTTTCCAGTCATTCCAGTCCAGAGTGGATTCTCGATGTTTTGATCTGCCAGGCTTCTTATACTTCTATAAGATTCTAAAAGACTATAATAACCAATTCCTTAAATTCACTAATTTCGTGGTCCGCTTGACCAATTAAATCATTACAATTAATTAAGGTTTTTAGTTGAGATGAAAAAAAGTTAATGGCACGAGCGGGATTCGAACCCACGATCTTCGGCTAGATACGCCGCTGCTCTACCACTTGAGCTATCGTGACCTCGATCCACTCGGACACCAACTTTCCATCTCAACCGCACCTTTTGAATTTTCCCTCCTTTTTGCCATTTTTTTCAATTCAATTCAAGCGGACCACGAAATTAGTGAAAGTTAAATTATGTAAAATGTAAAATAATAATAATAAAATGATCAAATCTGTCTATAGCCTAGCTAGAAGATAATTATAAGTCTCTTTGGTTTATACACTGCTGCCTATTTTAAAAAAGAAAAAAAACACTAATATTGTTTTTTTAAATTACATAATTTTTTAATGTATATTTATACGAAACAATGAATAATGCAGGTTTTATTAAATAAAAAATCGATGTATGCTATTGCTCTTGTATTCTAGTTTTAATAAAAGTAATTACTTTAATTAACGAAGAGTGATTAGTGTTCAAGGACTATTTTCGTCTGAAAGCGCATCTGACGTAATCCCGGATTTAACAGTTAATTTGTTCATTCAAATTTCAAAGTATCGATTTAGAGAAAGTGAGAAAGAAAAAAAGACAGAAAAAGAGAGAGAGAGAAAGAGAGAGAGAGAAAGAGAGAGAGAGAAAAAGACAGAAAGAGAGAGAGAAAGAGAGAGAGAGAGAGAGAGAGAGAGAGAGAGAAAGAGAGAGAGAGAAAAAGACAGAAAGAGAGAGAGAAAGAGAGAGAGAGAGAGAGAGAGAGAGAGAGAGAGAGAGAGAGAGAGAGAGTGAGAGAGGTAGAGAGGAAAAGAGGAAGAATTTTACCTATTTCCCCTTAGCTGTTGCGAGCCATGTACGATACATCGGTCTCTTATTGGGTAAATTACCTCTAAACTTTTCAAAAGTTCTTTTGAAACTGGTTTCTTAGATAGCATGTTCGTGGAACTTAGTCAAATAAAATATTTATGGTTTTAAACTTAAGCGCGTAAACGCAACATCTATCAAGTTAGGCTTTGTTTTTGCTTTTGACTTCTACGTTTTCTATGTTGTACTCGATTTGTCAAATGAATTGTTAATAAAAATATAATTATCATTGTATTATATAAATGAAGCATGAGTAGATTCGAAGATAAATGTTTAAGCATATCGTGTCAAGGAACAAGGGCGTCTGACTCACTTGGGAATTCAAAAAGCCATCGAAGGAGAGCGAGTTGGGACAAACAATTCTATCAACTATTAGGACACCGAAAAGGTTTCATCACTAGTTTTGATCCGATTTACAGTTTTGGACGTCGGATGTCATTGACGGGACAAGGACAAAGTCAACACAAACTCTTCCTTAAGAGCTTTTTGACAAAATATATTTCTGCTTATGAGTTCAAGAACGCGCATAAAAAAATAATAAATAAATTATGCATAGATAACAATTCTATAAATTAAAATGATAAAAAATTTACAAATTGGCGGCGATTGATGATTGGTTATCAGACCACTTTATAATGTCCTCAGTTCAATCAGTGCTTTCATTTTCCTTCAGGTGTGCTTACATGGAAAACTTGCAAGGACGTTTTGAGAAGCGTTTGTCAGAAAAGTACTTGAAAACCAGGAAGATCGCTGACCCACTTTGACCACGCGCGCCCACAGGACGAACCTCACCTCGGAACCACCGAAAACGCACAGAAATGAATTAAAATTCTCATACGTAGGATGAAATCTGTTTAGTGAAGTTTCCGGAAATTTATTAGAAACCGGAAGAAGTCTTGTTTTTTCAACTTTGATCTTGACACGTTTTTTCATTTACAATATCAGAAAGAGAGGCAGACAGAGCGAGTGCGTGTGTATGCGTGCGTGTGCGTGCGCGCGAGAGATAGATAGAGAGAGAGAGTGAGAAAACGCACACATACACACACACACACACACACACAGACCGAAAAAGTGATATGTAGAGTGGTCCAGCATAAACCCCCAAAAATAGAGTAACATTCAACCAACCGTTCTACCTCAATCCGGTCGGAAGTTATTTTTTTTTTTAAATCCCGACTTTATGCCATAAATTTGAATTTTTTTCAAGATCTAGAAAATCTGTTCCAATTTTTAACCAAATTTTTGAATTCTGCATTCTGCATTAAATTTCCTATAAGAACAAGCTATTTTTAATCGTATCAAACGCCGAAGTATGTTTATTAATTCAATCCAATATGAAAAATTTTAAAAAAGGAGAGACTTTTGATAAATTTCTAAAAATAACTGTTTTTCAACAAACATATTTGTAAGGGTGCCGAACATCATAAAAACTTTTTCATTTAATAAGCTTTATCATGGTCTACCCTTCAACGGTAAAATCAATCTGGAATGTTAAAAAAAACGTGGTTCAACTGGGTAAATTTAACGCATACGGAAGAGGAGTGCGATTTCGAAAATTTTAACCAGCATTGTTGATGCACGATTTAAAATAGAAATAAATTATGTAAGATTATAAAATCAAATCTCTTTTTTATAAAATAAAATACTATAAAATAAGTCTCTAAAATTTTCGAAATCGCACAGGTCACTCCCCTTCCGTATGCGTTAAATTTACCCAGTTGAACCACGTTTTTTAACATTCCAGATCGATTTTACCATTGAAGGATTGACGTTTGTGGAATTTCGAGTACACCATAATAAAGCTTATTAAATGAAGAGGTCTGTACGATGTTCGGCACCCCTACAAATATGTTTGTTGAAAACCAGTTATTTTAGGAAATTTATCAAGTTCCTCTTTTGTTAAAATTGTTAATTTTGGGTTGAATTAATAAACATATATCGGCGTTTGATAAGATTAAAAATTGCTTCTTAATAGGAAATTTAATCCAGAATTCAAAAATGTTGTTACAAATTGGAACAGATGCTTTAGATGCTGAAAAATGCCAATTTCTGGCTTAAGGTCGGGATTTTTCGAAAAAAAAAACACGTACAAATACATAACTTTCGACCGGATTGAGGTAAAACAGTACGATTAAAAATAGGTCCTTCTTATAGGAAAGTGAATGCAGAATTAAAAAATGTGGTTAAAAATTGGTACAGATGCTTTAGATGTTGAAAAAATGCCAATTTATGGCTTAAAGTCGGGATTTTTCTAGAAAAAAACCGTAAAAATTTATAAATTCTGATCGGATTGAGTTGGAACAGTTCGGTTGGTTGTATTTTACTCTATTTAGTTTGTACTAAGAGCCAATTTTTTTCTGGTTTATGCTGGGACAACCTGTATAGACGTATACCAAAGAATAAGAAGATAAAAGATAAGAAGACAAAATATCACAGTAAACCAGAAATAGCTATATAAATATGTACATAGTAAACAAATAGATAAAAGGTGAGGCAAATAAATAGGGAACAATAGGTTGAATAAGTGGCTAGTAGTTTGTGGTCTTCCTTCGTATGGCACGGAGGTGAATAGAAAAAAATATAAATTGATGGATCAACAGAATTATGTATAATATAGAATACATATAAAGAAAAATGGGTAGAGTGCCAGGCGAATAAATATTATACATTTAAATATAATGCAGAAGTAGAATATATATTACATCGCAGATTTGGTATTGGTAGTATTTGTTGGTCTGTGAGTGGATGAACTGATCGTCAATGATCAGTGATAATTCTACTGAGTGTGGATCACTTGAACAAATCATTGCAGAGATAAGAAACGTAGTGGGTTCCAAGGAGTTTCTCTTAATCCCAATGGATAAACGTACGGTTTTCATATCTGGTAATTCCCAGGAACAAGGCCGTCCCCGTCAAAGCCTCTGGAAACGCAACCGGCAATTACCGGAGGCGTACGGAGAGGATGTCGTCCGGTGAAAGCCACCTGGTACACATGGGATGTCGGGTTGCGACAACCTTCGAAAGACTGCCTTCTCGCCCCCACCGGCCCAGGACCCTCTCCCACTTCTTTTCGAATCCTTTTTGAACCCTATCAGCACCCGGTGGCGTACACAGTCGTCGACGGACCATTTCATACATTGCTCACTGATGTTAGCGAGTAAGTCAAACCAATTTTTTATTTTTATATCGCGAATATTCAATTCCTTGACGGTTGGAAATTAGCGTAATTTTTTTAAAAATCAATTTTTAAACAGGCATCAGTCTTTCAAATTTAATAAGAATATATTAGTAAAAACATTTCACAAGGTTTAACCATAATTTTTGTCCCCTTATTTCACCAAGAAATAATCAATTTATATACATTGGTATAGCGAATATTGATTTTACAATTATTTTCATTTGGTTTTCCAACGTGTACTACGTTATTTAAACCGGATGACTTTTCTATCTTAAGATATTCTTCGACATTTGTCCATCCTGGTTCTGTCCACATGCAATGTTTTGGCAGTCTTCAATATAGATTTTGGTATGATTCATGGCTACGCTAGGATTCCAACGGTTTATAACAACAGTTTTTTTTTCCAAATGAAGTTCTCAAAATTTACATACGTAAGAAAAGACAAAAATACACCGATCGTCTGTATCTCTGGCCATAGAGCTGAACGCGTGCGTAATTTCCGCGTATTCTTCCTGAAAGGTTTTATCATCGCACGAAACAAGGCATCAATTTTCCGTATCACTTCACATCATCATCACCATACTATTATACACACAGTGTTGCAAATTTAAAAAACAAACCTAAAATATATCCTATTTAAAAAGAATCGTGGTGCGTTATAGAAGTTAAATTATGACGAGGTAGTTAAATAATTAAACCGATTAATATATAGAAAAATGAATAGATAAAAGCATTAGATAAATGGATAAAGAATGGACACATATTTATTTTTTTTATCAATGTATAAAAGCCAATTGATAGATACATAAACAGACAAATATAATACACGATTTGAATATATAAAAATAAAATAAGACATTTAGATAGGTAAATAGATACATAAATAATGAAATAAATAGGCAAAAATAAATATAGATAATAATAGATGACAATAAAATAAACAGGCGGACAAATATATAGATCGGTAGGTATATAAATAAAGCGAAGATATATCAATAAATTGATAGAGATAAAGGGTGTCAACTTACTAGTGTACATGTTTTATCAGATTTATCAATTTATAAAAAAAGGTATGACACAGGAATGACACCCTTCAATTAAACAGAGCACTTATAATCTCGACTTATAAACGACTTAATATTCCACCATAAATAAGATCGCGCACACTACACATTCACGCTAATAAATACATTCAATATCAACATACACAAAACGATACATACTCGAATAAATAAAATAAATATTTCAAAGTTAAGTAAGTATAAAGGTAGACCGATTGATAGGTGATTTATCAAGATCAATTCTGCAAATACATACACATATATACAGAAATGACTTCTCACCAAAATCACCCATTATCGGTGTTTTGGCGGTCCAGGGATCAGACCTTGGTCTTATCCGTCCCATCTAGGAAGTTACGATCCAGGGTTGACAACTGCTATATCATTTCAGCCCGCAAAGTATGGCCATCTCATGGCCTCCGTCAACCTTTATGCATACTATATATCTAACTAATCAAATCGAGTGTGATCGACTCAGTATTCCACTATGAGCTCTCTTACTCTCACATTCACGCGTATAAATAGATTCACTCTCAATGTGTACAATACTATATACAATAAAACAACAAGTTCCTGCAAAACTCGGATCAGGGAATCCAAATACAAGCTGCACAAGCACGATTCTCATGCCGGGTTATATAGAGCAAAGGAATGACACCCTTCAATTAAACGGAGCACTTATAATCTCGACTTATAATCGACTCAATATTCCACCATTCTCGCTCACATTACACATTCACGCTAATAAATACATTCAATATCAACATACACAAAACGAAACAAAGTACGAGATTTCTACTTAAAGATAATGGAAAAAAACCAGCCCTGTTAAAAAAAGTAAATAAATAAAATAAATAAATAAATAAAAATCAGAAGAAGGAGAGCCAAGCAATGACACTCTTCAAATAAGCGGGACGCATCCTTTCCATGTTGGACATGGACTAACCCATATAAAAATAAACCAGTAAATAGAAGGTAGATAAAAAATTATGTAAATATACCCATAGATATACAAATAAACATAAAATTAAATGTATGGTGATTAGTGACCGTTAATCACCTTAACCAACGTTTCGATCTTTATTGAGATCATCTTCAGGGCTCAAAGTGTTTGTCTTCTGTGTATTTGTGCCATTAATTAATTGTGTACACGACACGCAAGAATGGAGCACTTATAATCGACTCAATATTCCACCATTCTCTCTCACATTACACATTCACGCTAATAAATACATTCAATATCAGCATACACAAAACGAAACACAATACGAGATTTCTACCTAATGATAATGGAAAAAACCGCCCTGTTAAAAAAAAGAAATAAAATTTGGAAGAAGGAGAGCCAAGCAATGACACTTCAAATAAGCGGGACGCGTCCTTTCCATGCTGGACACATGGACTGATAGACGCAAAAATAAACCAGTAATAGAAAAGTAGATTAAAAAAAATTATAAAAATATACTCATAAATAAAACAAACGTACAATTAAATAAAGAGGTCGACCAATATACATATTGTCAGATAGATTGGTACATTGATAAATCGATAAATAGATCTTTATATCAGTGGTTAGAAGAAAATTGACAGAATTGAAGATCGTTAGGTGTGTAGATATAATAAAATAGATAAAGTAGATATAAGTAAATAAACACGTCGTGAAATAGATTTATCTACAGATAGATGAGTTGACATATCGATAAGTTTATGGCTTTCTTGCCTATAAATCAAAGGATAAAGAAATAAATTGAAAGAAAGGTTGAGATAAAGATATAATGCGTAAATATATAATAATGTAATAAATTAATAACAATTAACAATACTATATAATAAGTATATAGACAGTTATATAAATAGGTAATTTGGCAAATGGGTAGACGACATATTGACTGATTGATTGAACGTTTTATTTAATCACGGAAAATTAGATCTCGTGGACCTTTCTTCTACTTAACGTGAGTTATACATTTTAGATTATAAATACAATTTATCCAGACTATTTGGGTCTTTACAATTTATTTTACACGTAGAATACAAGAAAATAAAGTTTTACATAGTTTTTACTTAATATTTCACAAAACAAAAATTTTTGGTTTTTAAATTTATAAGATAGTATGTACTTTGTTAAGTAAATAAACTTGTCATTTATCTACAGATAGATGGGTTGACATATCGATAAATTTAGGGCTTTCTTGCCTATAAATCAAAGGATAAAGAAATAAATTCGTCTATGTGGATTTAAGAGTTAATTTGTTCATTCAATGTTTCGCTTGATTGATTGATTGATTGATTGATTGATTGATTGATTGAGAGAGAGAGAGAGAGAGAGAGAGAGAGAGAGAGAGAGAGAGAGAGAGAGAGTCATACAGTCAGAGTGTGTGTGTGTGAGAGAGAGAAAGAAAGAAAGAGAGAGAAAGATTGATTAATTGATATCATTTTATTTACATAATCGCTCAAGATTAGGTCTCCAGGACCACTCTTACATCTAAAGAGAAGTACAGATTTATTTTTACAATTGCTCTACTCAATCTTTTAGAAATAGATAAAACAAAAATATTCCTTGGTTTTACACTTTGACCAAGTCATTGTATAATATTACATAATCTGTTTACATATTAACAAGAAGGGGAACGAAAAATAACAGAACAATAACTAAAAAAAAAAGAAAAAAAATTAAATTTTACTTTGCAAAATAAAACATAAAATTTCTTTCTAAAAGAGAGAAATAGATAGATAGATAGAGAGAGAGAGAGTGAGTGAGTGAGTGAGTGAGTGAGTGAGTGAGTGTGAGAGAGTGAGAGAGAGAGAGAGAGAGAAAGAGAGTCATACAGACAGAGTGTGTGTGTGTGAGAGAGAGAGAAAGAAAGAGAGAGAGAGAGAGAGAGAGAGAGAGAGAGAGAGAATAAATGAGTAAATTTAAAATTAGTTATTCTCAATAATTATAAATTTTATGTTCTGCTCGCTGATAATAGTTTTAAAATGCTCGATGATTGATCCTAAGAATTTTGAATTTACGCATTATTAATTAAGAAAAAAAACATTACAATACACGAGTACGATTTGTAGTAATCAAAGTAAACAAAGTAAAAGCAAGAGAAAGGGAGAACGTAAAAAGATTTCTGTGAATGGCAGTCCCTGAAACTTGACCCAGTCGTATTACATGAAGAGTCACCGGGCTTTGCCCGCTATCGTGTTCAAAAGTCTAAATTTAGTCAATTTAAACTCAATGCAATTCACAAAATCTTATTAAAGTTATTACAGTTCTCCCGAGATTGATTTAAAAGGAAAACTTTTCACGATTATATTTCAATTTTATACCGTACTAAAAATTTACGAAAAGTTTAAAAAAAAAAAACTATTTAGTATAGTATTTTGGCTTTCTGTCTTTTCTCGTTTTCCGAAGGTATGAATGTCTTAATTATGAAAGCAGGCTGGACGACGTCCTTTCTCAGGCGGACACCTCCCAGCAATCATTTATGCAATAAGACACCTACTTCTTTGGGAAATACCGATCGTTACTTTGCACCCAGGTCGGAATCGGTTTGACAGCGAATCCAGACCAAGGACTTCCATCTGACCTCCTACTTCTTTAAGGCAGCCGGTCAAGGATCCACGCCTACGGGATATTTTGATTCTTCTGCGTTTGCCTTTTCTTTTGGTTCAGTTCGACATCGGCTCAACAAAACGGTGGAATTCAATATCAGTAAAAACTGCTAAACAAAAAGATAATTTCAATTTTCTGACAGGTTTGTCAGATTTTTCAATGTCACCTGACCTACAAATTCGTTATAGACTATTGTACGTTGACATCGGGTCGTTCAATATTCATCAAGTCATGTTCTCAAGGATAAAATACAATGAGTCACAAAGCAGTTTTGAAATCGGTTTACACGAGGCTAAACGACATCTGAACCACCTAAACCAAAAATATTTAGTCATTTACATTCTTTTGGTCCTGCTATTTTCCTGTTTTGTTTTGTCAGACTCGTTTCGGTTTCTCACTATCTTCAGTAACTTATCGGCCCATTTTAGAAACGAGTGTTTGTAGATTCTTGCATTTTTTTCATAACAAATATCTCTTGATTTTTAGTTTTTTGATCATCACCAATGCTGTTTTGATCTGTCAGTCGCTTATCTGTTTCTCGCCATCGTCAGTGATGCATCGGCCCATTTTATAGTAACACGCATCAGTTTGTGCTGGCCAAACAAAAACCTATAAATTCATCGTTTTTATCAATTTTTGATCACCTACCCTCCCAGTTTTCATCTGTGACGTTTTTTGGTTTCTCACCATCATCAATGAGGATTGCTTCATTTTAACAAGAACGGATGATTTTATAAGTCGAGTGTATTTTGTATGACAAAAATCTAGAATTAGGTCATTTCTGATATTTCATGTTCCTATTTTTGCTGTTTTAACTATCAAGCTCGTCATCTTCAGTGGCACATCGTATTATTTTAGTAACAGTATTTGACTTTGTAAGTTCTTGGGAATGTTTGGCACAGGTATGTGGGCAAAATTTCATTAATTTTGTTGTTTACGGTCATTTTGGCCTCCCTATTTGATCTGTCACACGCTTTTCGGTTTCTCGTCATCATCAATGATGGGTCGCATTTAGCAACAGTGGATGTTTTGTAAGTTCTTGAGTGTATTTGTCATGATAAAAATCGATAATTAGATAATTACCGATCTTTTATACTCATATCTTTGCTGTTTTTGGCTGTCAGATTGGACATCTTCAGTGGTGCATCGGCCCTTTTTACTAACAACGTATGTGATTTTGTACGTTCTTGAGTATGTTTGGCACAGGTATGTGGGTATAAAAAAATTCTAAAACTTTTTCTAACTCTCGTTTGCGGACATTTTGTTCTTCCTTTCTTTGCTGTTTTTGTTTATCAGACATGCATCAGTCTCTCGCCATCATCAGTGGTATGTCTATACATTTTAGTAACATCATGTGACTATTTAAATTCTTGGGTGTATTTGGCAAGAGAAAAAAGTATAAAAATCCTCCTATCTTCGCTGTTTTGGACTCTCAGACTCGCCATCTTCAGTCCGTATAACTTTGTATGTTCTGAGGTGTGTTTCCACACGTGTGTGAGCATAAAAACATTTGGCCATTTCTGGTCCTTTTGTTCCTCACCTAACCTCACTGATTTGGCCTTCGATCATGTTTAGTTTTCTCGCCATCAGTGATGGTTCGGTTGATTTTAGTAGCACGGGCTACTTTGAAAGTTTATCGGTATATAAACAGGACATTTTTTCCTCTTCTATCCTCACTGTTTTGGTCTGTCAAACGCGTTTTGGTTTTTAGCCATCATCAGTGGTATGCTTCGTAAGTTCTTGGGTGAATTTTAGCATGTGGTGATTGGACGAGAATCGGCGAAGATTTTCATTTTCGTTTAGAACAAACGAACATTTTTCTGTTTTCTCTGTCTCTAAAATCAAAAAAAATTATGAGGTCTGATGTCCGCCTGTTCTCGCGCCGTCTCTCATTCGAATTATTTATAAATAAGACTGAAGTTTGCTGGGATAAGTAACAAAGAAAACGATGAATCCGTATTACATTACATTATCACTCGGGTACTGGTAAAACCTTGACTGCTGAGAAAAGCATGGCTAATGATCATGTTTGACCATGTTGAAATGATTTCAATTTCATTATAAAATGGGAAATTATTTTGATTTTTTTTGGGCGTTTTTGATCATTTCAGAAACAAGAAATATGCACGTCATTTTATTGTATACCAGTATATACCTGCTATTATGATTTTGCTTCTGTTTGTTTGTATTTCAGAATTCTTAATTTTGGCGTGCGCTCTTCTGCAGTTGACCTCAGGAGCGGACGACAAATGGGTCTGGGGAAGTGGAAGGAGCGTCAAACTCGCCAAGTAAGAGGATCAATTAATTCGATGTTTCTGCATGGTTGATCTGAATCACCTCCGTTCAGGGCTGACCCGGCCATCCTTGGACGCTTCCCTCGATCAGCCGGACCATCAATTTACCACCGGCCACGACATTGTCTCTTAATTGTCGACCACCCCCCGGCCGGTTCGCCTCCGGTTCCGCGTTAAATTGTATATCATTTGAAAATTACAACGTTCATCGGGCTAAAACGATTTCATTCTCTTTGTGAGTCAGCTCGCGGTGGGAAGCGGCCGCCGGACTGTTCGGAAAGGAAGCAACCATTCTTATGCTAATGTTCCAAGGTTTCGATGAAACACAATTAGGAAAATCCGCCAGTCGGAAAAAACTATTTATACAGGAATAAATAAAAAAATTGTACGTAAATTATTCAATGACCGCATAATCTAGGTTTTCCTCACTACTCTTTATCTGTGAAAATATAATCATATAATATTCTATGTTCATTTCTGCATTTTCTTTTCTTCTAGGCTAGATAATAATGGAAGATATGGGGTTTATGATCCTGATGTACCTGATGATGTGTATCGACCCTTGGTGAGGCCACCTCCTAAAGAATTTCCAGCACTCGTCAGGCCATCTTCATCATTTAACGAGAGACCTTTCCCTCGACCTTCATTTACTTCTGACAACAGGCCATACAGGCCCTATGAGTCCAACAGGCCATATGAGTTCAATAGGCCCAATAGACCCTTCGAGTCTAACAGGCCATATGAGTCTAACAGGCCTTATGAGTCTAACAGGCCTTATGAGTCTAACAGGCCTTATGAGTCTAACAGGCCTTATGAGTCTAACAGACCCTATGAACCGAGTAGACCGTATGAACCAAGCAGACCTTATTTTCCAAGCAGACCTGTCGAACACAACAGGCCTTATGTGCCATCCAAGCCATTCCCAGACAGAACACCTTCACCACCAGCAAACAGAGCAGAATCTACTGATCCAACGAAATTCGATAAATGCAAATGCACACACTCTTTCAACTGTAAATCGCCCGGGATTGTTTTTGTACGTTCACATACATTTCAAATTAATCTTAGAAATATTAATTTCCACTTTTTTTTAATACAGGGAAGCTGTGATGTTGGTAAAAAATACTGCTGTGAAAAATACAGGAATGCCCCAGCGAGAGGACCGGGTGGACCAACTTATGACCTTGCTGAACCTGAAGTCAGTATAAACATAAACAAAAATAAATATTGAATAAATAAATTTATCTGGTTGATGTAGGTGCTTGCTGGACCAGGAGGACCTGTAGACCACTTGTACAAAAATCCTCGGGTAAATTAAATACCTTTTTCAAAATAAAGACACATTGTATTAATGGTTTTTCTTCTATTAATAAATAAACAGCAGCAACCTTGTGAGGGGCTACGCTGTTACAACTCGTACACTCAGGGCAGGCAGCCTTAAGCTGAAGACGCCTGTGATTTCTGTCTTCCTCGATGTTCCTAATTTCTTAAAAACTTTATTTAATAAAAATTAATGAATTTATTTATAAAGTTGAATATTTATTTTTCTTAATAATAATATTGTAAATTTAACGTGTATAAAATAAATAAAAAATACAAAATATGTATATTCGTTTTTTACCTTTTGTATTTATAGTCCTTCATTATGTTATTTATTTATATTATTATAAATTTATTTATTATATTTTTAAAATCATTAAATATATTTTCAAAAATTGAAATAAATTAAAAAGTTAAATTTTTAACCGTTGGGGTTATTTAGATGTTTAAAAATAGATAGTTTGTAGACTTCTTTGACCACTGCTCGTCATGGAACTTCCAGATAAAATGAATAAATTAAAAAAATATCAATAAAAAAAAATACAAAAAACTTCAAACTTTTGTAAAAACTCTTCACACATGGATCTCAAATTTCTCTTTCACACATACAATAAATTAAGAAAATTGCTGGTCTTTCAAAATAAAATTCTTATATATTCTTGCAGATGGCCACATAAGGCTAAAACCTCGACTACTGCTTTATTTTTACTCTTTTAAGTTGATCGATTTTGTTGAAGATGCATAAAGCCGAATTGAAAATGACTAAACGGCATGGTTCAGACATTTTCTCCTCTTATCAATAAGTGTTCCTCAGGGGTCCATCCTGGGCCTGTCATTGTTTTCACTGTTCATAAATGACATCCAAGCTTCTCCTAACTGTTAAAAATACATTTTTGGTTTAATTATATTTTCCAAACATGATTTCAATTATTAAGGTAATTGTTAACCCCTGGGGTATTTTTGATTTAAGAAATAGATGGTCTGTAGTCTATATTTATTTTGTCTCTTTTATTGTTATTATACTTTAAAAATTAATGAGAAATTTATTATTTTAAATATTTTTTTAAATCATTAAATATATTTTCAAAAATTGAAATTAATTATTCAATTAATTTTTTAACCCTTAGGATTAGATTAAAAAAATAGATGGTCTGTAAACTTTGTCTACCAATTATCATCATGAAACTTTCATCAATAAATAAATTAATTAAAAAAAAAAGGATGCTTGCCATAACAGGAAATTTGTATCCCATGCCAAACAAGTAAATTGTTTCTTAAACCTCAGTAACACATGAATCTCAGATTTTCTGTCCTCACTAAATTAATAACATTTTTGGTCTTCCACAATTAAATCCTAATGCATGGCTGTTGATTCACAGTCGTATATTTATATCATTTTGTTATTTAGCAGCTGCATAAAGACTTTCAGGAGCCAACGATAGAGATTAAATATAGTAAAACTGTATCAACCTTCAGAAGACGATCAATAAAGAAATATAAACACTCTTTCAAGTTGATTGTTGTTGAAAACGAATATACGGTTGTAGTATAGACATGTCCTCTTTTCCCCCTTTATCAAAAGGTGCTACTCAGGGCTCCATACTTGGTCCTTTGTTATTTTCACCATTCATAAACAACATCTAAACTTCTCTTAACTGTTCAAATTACCATATTTTAGGTGATCATTTTATTTTATATGCACTGCTCTTCTGGTCAATTCATTCAATTGTGTATGTTCTTCACTTTCTTATGATACACCCTATTTCTTATTCGTAATATGTAATGGGGGGGGACCACGGTAGCAGAGTGGTTAGCGTGGTAAGACTTGGCTCGTAGACCCAGCAGTCATGGGTTCTATTCTCACCGTTTCCCGTCGCCCTTTTTTCATGATACCTTTCCCCCATTAATACAATGCATTGTCAAATACACACAAGTCTTTCTTGGCTAATATGTTCGTGAGGCCAATAAAAAGAAAAAAAATTAGCAGTCATAATTGACCTATTTAATTATTTCAATAAATTATATTTTATCTAGTCTTGGTTGAGATGAAAAATTTAGTGTCATGAGCAGGATTCAAACCCATAGCCTTCAGCTATTTCTTGTCTAAACTTAAAAAAATCACTTATAGCTCCTTTTTTCAGTATTGTGACATAATTTTCTCAATTTCCTAGATATCAAATCTTTTCACAAGCTTAACTAATGCTTTTATTTGCTCTATATTAAGCATTAAATAAATTTTCGATTACGAATATTCTCAGTATTAGAAATGGAGGTGTTTTATTTAACTTAAAATTATTAAATCAACACAAAAGCAATTTTTGGAAAATATATTTATAGAGTCCAAACTTTTACAGATGCATCACAACACAAGGAAACATTTCCAATGAATTAAAGGAGGTGCGAGGCATTTGAATGCACTGCGCAATTACATCTGGCATCAGGTTTGCAGTTTTCTGTACTGATGATCGATGATATATACAGGGTGAGTCATTTTCACTGCACCATTTGAAAAACAATGTGGGTGCATTTAAATCTGACTCAAGGCCAATTTCTTTTGATTTTAACATTAAAAAAAGGAAGTGAGTCAATTTTCGGTGCACCATAGGAAAATCAACGTTGGTGCGTCTAATTATGACTCGGCACATTTTATTTTGTTAGTCTCGTACCAAAAAATAGGCAAGTCACTTTTTGACGCACCATTCGTTACAAATTAATTTTAGTAGGTTGGAAGGAAAATAAACAAAACCAATATTAATAAAACATTATTCAAACACAATGTAAAAATTAAAAAAAAAAAAATTATTCACAAATTAATTTGATTATGGTTTAAGAGTATTTTTTTCTGGTAAAGTAAAAAAATTAAATAAATATAACAATCTCCTTTTTTCTGGTAAAGTAAAAAAATTAAATAAATATAACAATCTCCTTTTTTCTGGTAAAGTAAAAAAATTAAATAAATTTAACAATCTCCTTTGTTAGCAAATCAAAAATGTTCAAAATCATTATAATAATTGTTCGAACAGACCTCCATTTGCTGCAACACAGTAGCCTAGTCTATCGTAAAACGATGATCGGATGAAAAAAATACTCTTAAACCTTAATCAGATTAATTTGTGAAGAATTTTTTTTAAATTTTTACATTGTGTTTGAATAATGTTTTAATAATATTGGTTTTATTTTCCTTCCAACCTACTAAAACTAATTTGTAACGAATGGTGCGTCGAAAAGTGACTCGCCTATTTTTTGGTACGAGACAAACAAAATAAAATGTGCCGGGTTATTAGACGCACCAACCTTGATTTTCCTATGGTGCACCGAAAATTGACTCACTTTTTTTTAAAATTAATGTATTAATCAAAGGAAATAAGCCTCGAGTCAGATTTAAACGCACCCGCGTTGATTTTCCAATGGTGCGTCAAAAAATGACTCAACCTGTATACTTTTTCCCTTTGGTTTTCCATTTTTGAATAACACAAAAATCCATTCTATTTCAATTATTATTTTATATATTATTGCAACTAATTTATCATTAGCCATGTAAGTTTTAACATGTTAATCATCACCAGCAGGGACCACTGGTCCTATGTTGTTTATAATAATTAAATAAACCATATGGAAAGCTTTTTTGTAGGTAGTAGTCACATGAAATCATATATAAAAGATAATTTAAAAGATCAAAATCTATTTTTTAAAATACTCTAATTGTTTAAAGAGCCTGGCTTATTTTTCATTCAATGGGTATTGGAAGAAGAAAATTAATAAATTTTGCAATTTCTTTTCAATAATCACAGAAATACAGATAATTTTAAATAGATTTATTTTATATAATTTATACAATAATTTATAAACTTTACAAGGGCACTCCAACTATTTATAAATGTCTATGTCCAAGGACAAGTTTTTTTCCCTAAGATTTTTAGAAGAGAAATAAAATAAAGTAAAACAAAAAACAAAAAAATATGATCATTATTGTTTACACCTTGAGGTAAATTACATGTACAGTAGTCTCATTTCACCCATTCAACGAACACACAAAAGTCTCAAGATAAAAGGGTAAATATGTAAGTGTTTGGTTACATAATCGACGGTTCATTCGGTTTTATCTCCTTCCTGGGTATCAGCTAGCTTTGTTCTACTCTTGCATTTCTAACATCACTGTCAAGCTTTTCTCTCTGGTGAAATGGTTCTGGTAAATTGGATTGGTTTCAGGTAAATGTGCAGAATTTAAGTGCTGACTGATCGCGTTTTTTTCGCAGAGTTTCAAATTCAGAGGTTCCATGGCTCCGGTGTTCACACCGTTCACCCAGAGGTAATTTTATTGCAACTATTTTATTTAAAAAAATTGAACACATGTTTTTTTTTAATTTTTTTTATTACTGTAAGACAAAATACTTTAGTAAAGTAATTTGAAATTCTCTAGTATAGTAAAGTTTCTTATTTGCTTATGCTTTAATGTTTTTCAACAATCATTTATTGTTCATAATGTGGCCAAAATAAGGGCTTTTAAATAAACAAATACTGGCTAGATATTTTTAAATTTTTTAAAATATATGTTGTATTTAAAGTAAAGCCAGTTGAAGAAAGGCTCAATTAATCTATTTTTACACAATAATTAAACACGTTTACAATTTATAAATATTTCTTTTAATAAAACAATAATGAACAATTGTCGTGATCCAATTTACAATAAACACAATATTTCATTGATTTTGATGAAAGTTTTACCAGAACCATGTTATGTAATTTTAAATTGAAATGTCAGGCTGATTACTTTGCTGGTTGGCAGGTAATGTTGCACTAAAGTTGATCACTTTCTAAAAAAAACCTGTTATTGTTATTTAACAATATTTTTATTCTTTATAGCCTTGAAATCAACTTTGATATAATTGAACCTTATGCCAAGTTTCTTCACGATGCAGGGGTTAAAGGGATTTTAGGTACTCTTTTGACAAAATTAATTTTAAATTGTAATACACTGATTTAAAGTGTAATCGAATCCTCTGCAGTTGGTGGAACGACAGGAGAAGGCGTATCCATGACACTGGTGGAAAGGAAGACAGTGGCCGAAGTTTGGTTGAACACTTGCAAAAGGCTAGGGCAGACCGTTATGGTCCAGGTCGGAGGGGCTTCTCTTGTTGAAGTCGTTGCACTTGTGAGTAACATCTATTTGGATTAATTTACAAATAATTTATTAATTATATCTGAATAAGGCAAAACATGCGGAGGAAATGAAAGCCGATGCAATACTCTGCCTCCCTGAACTGTTTTTCAGGCCAAAGACGATCACTGATTTAATCCAGTATCTTTATTATGTATCAAAAGGGGCTCCGAACACACCACTTTTATATTATCATATCCCATCTTTTACCGGAGTAAACTGTAATTATTATTATGGTTGTTATTTTTTTATTTTTTATTAATTCAAATTGAATTTAATTTGTCAAGTGGACATGGCGCAATTTCTGGAGAAAGGAAGGGACACAATTCCCACCTTGGCTGGTATAAAATTCACAGACACTGATTTGGAAGAAGGAGCTCGCTGCATTAAAGAAGCGGGCAATGACATGGTGGTCTTCCTCGGTGCCGATCAAGTAAAACAAATTTTTTATTAATATTTATAAAAGAAATTGCGATAAGTGAAGTTTTTCTCCAGCTTATTAGTGCAGCTTCAGTGTTAGGATTTGACTCTCTGATAGCGACAACACTAAACCTTTGGCCATACATGCACGATCAGATTCTCAACAATGCCAAACTTGACAGATTCAGAGAAATGAGCGAGATGCAGTATAGACTATCCGAATGGGTTCAGATAATAACGAAACAAGGTATTCTCAATGTCAATTTTGTAAATTTTCAACAAATTTGATTTTTTTTTTTATAGGTTCTTGGGTACCGGCGATGAAAATGGCCATGAAGGTTATAACCGGCTTGGACATGGGACCGGTCCGGCCGCCTCTAATTTCTCTAGAATCGAACCAAGTCCAGGAGATGATCAACGAATTAGAAACAGTTTGCAAAAAGTAAAACACAGTATTGTTACAAAAAATACAATTAAAAAAATAAGGATTACCAGTTTACCATGTAATTTCCTTTCTTTACCTCCAGGGCATGCAACCTATGCGTTTATCAAGAGTCGAAATATTTGCGCCCTCCAAGAAGCCGGATATAGCTTCTAAAATCTTACAACATAAAAAAATATAACATTAATGACAATCTTATTTTCAGAATGTTTCTGGACCACTATAATTAATCACAATAAACCAATTATGGATTTTTTAAAATAAACAAGGACATCCAGAAACAGCACAAGACTGTTGTCAACATAGCTATACAATAAAGCAATATTACATAAATCATTAACATATTTTAAATATATTTTAAAAAGATAAGATGATATATATTATAAGGAGAATAAAGAATAAAAACAACCAGAAAAGATAAGAGCCTTTTGAAAAATTACTTCTTCTAATATCCAAGGTTTTGCAACTTTACAAAATTAAGAATATTATTTGCCTCAAAGAGGACAATTTGGACATATTAGAATTTTTTCATGTCTGTTTTCTGAGTCAATTTCATGTTTTTGGCACTAGTAATTTTTAATTACTAATAAATTTTGACATTTTATTCAGCTGTTTCTTGGCAACAATTCACTGCTAACAATGTTTACATTAATAAAACTACAAAACAAAATTACATTAACAGTTACTATACAAGTTTATAAAATGATTTAACTACATTAGAAACATTATATACAAAATTTATAAATCTTACATCGTATGGAGTATATCAATTTATGATTTTCAGATGACAATTATAAAAATATAGCATTTTTTATGGTTATGCGACACTAGTAAAATAAATCTAAAATCTAATCTGAAAAAAAGACATTGTCTTTAGCAGATTATAAAAATAATTTTATTATCCTTCCAATTCATTTATTGAATTATTTATAAAACAAAAAATCTACAGAATCAACTCTGATATGTTTTAGAATTTGCTTAAAGTTGACATTTAGTGTCAACCTTTCATGAATAAATTGTGTGCAGGCATGGTTCCTGTTTGGAAAAATACATATTTATAAAAGAGAAAAGAAAATTATGTATTTTTATACATAGATAAATTTTATAACAAGTGTCCAAACCACTGAAACCTTTCTAAGAAAGGTAAAACTTGTAAATTCACATGTAATGACAAAATAAAAACAAAAAAGTCAGTTTTGAGTTATCCTTAAAATGTCTAATTCACTTTGTTTAAAAATATTTTAAATAAATATATCTACTGTCTTATTTCAGTTTAATTAACTTATAAAAATATTTCTGTCAGTAATTAACTAGAAATTTAAATAAGTTGACGTCATAAATATGCTTTGTATTATGCTAGCTTACTTTGTTATAGTCAATTATCCTTTCATCATGTTTTTTTACAATTGAAAATGACTATTATTTCATATCAACATTGCTTATTCCACGATAACTCAAAAAATAAATTATTCAGGGATTGTACAAAATAATATTACTAGATCTTTTTAAATATTTTTTTTTTTTGAAAATGAAGATTGGTCCACTCTTCAAATCTCTGTTCAACTTTGCACTAGATTCAGGCAACCCAGGCGAGCCTTGTCGGCCTTTCGGACGCTACCAGACTCACAGCCGGTATGGGCTCAAGGGCCGGCAGCATGGGTCAGTCGGGGTCGTAATGACAGTCTATCCGAAGGAGGACAAAAACTGCTGTGAGTGTGAGGAGGGAGAGGGCGAGTAACAACGAAGCGAGCACCGACATCTGTGTGTTGCTCGGGAAGAAGGCAAGCTCCCTCAGGCATGCACCGGACAGAACGACTTGCAACATGCAAGCAACGAACCATAAAAATGTCATTGGCACCGCAACACTCAGCCTTGGGCCCAAGAACCGAAGTTTTGAGTTGCAGTTTGGTTCTTTATAACCGCTAAAACCTCTGCTTGTGTGAATACTTGCACCTGAAACATATTTATATTATGTTAAGTTATGCTAGCTTTGTTACTTTTGTTAGTTACAACTTTTAACACATTGATTGAGGCAAGGAAAAAGAAATTAATTAATTTAAAAGTTACCTGCTGCTATGACTGTAACGACACCTGCAGGCATGCCCAGACCCAAGTTAATTTCTCCTCTCACTTCTATCAGCGCAACTGTGCCCATTATGAGAGATGTAATTCCACAGACAATCTGAAAAAAGTTTAAATTAAAATCTTTCAATTAATTAAGGTTTTTAGTTGAGATAAAAAAGTCAATGGCACGAGAGGGATTCGAACCCATGACCTTCGGCTAGATACGACGTTGCTCTACCACTTGAGCTATCATGACCTTGATTCACTTGGAGCACTAACTTCCCATCTCAACCCCACCTTTTGAATTTTAGATGGGAAGTTAGTGTCCCGAGTGAATCGAAATCACAATAGCTCAAGTGGTAGAGTAACAACGTATCTAGCCGAAGGTCGTGGGTTCGAAACCCGCTTTTGACACTGACTTTTTTTTATCTCAACTAAAAACCTTAATTAACTGAACGATATTAATTGATCAAGCAGACCACGAAACTAGTGAGTTTAAATTAAAATTTAAATGTATTTAGTTGTATACCGTGTAAAGAAGGTATGTTGTATCTTTTATTCGGACACTGCCGAATGGGACACTAATAAAAAATAATATTCAGCAGATCCTTGCTGCGCAGTGGAAATAATACAAATTAAACAAAATCCGAATTACAACGAAAATTTATATTCCTTTTTAAAAAATAAACAAACAAACTCAAAATCTTCGAAACAAAATATAAAAAAAATCTCAATCAAAATAATCATACAAAAAAGAATTAAAATATTTTCTTTTGCCAACCTGTTAACGATAGTTTATATGAAGTAGACTCTACGACTGCTTTCAAGCTACTACACGTTACGGCGAAAGCAGCGCTAGTTTTTCAAACTATTTGTTAGGCAAATGAACTATTTACATTTTTATATAATACAAATCGAAATAACAAATTAATAAAATTTTCTTGACTGAACAATTTAAACAAATAAAAAATAAGATTTTTTTTCTAAATAAATTATTGTTTGTTTGAAAATTAATAAGGTTTACTTCATTGTTAATAATAATAATTTAACTTGAAAATTACAACATAACAAAAAGATAAACAAAAAGTCAATTAAATAAAAATTGTCGTGATTTTCATGACAACCGTTAACATTGGGTGAAAGGCATTGCTAAAATTTTAATGTAATAGTAGATAATTTACATAATTTGTTTACTACTGGTCGAAGATCTGAACAGATCTCAAAATATCATGCATGTCTGACAAAATTAAAATAAAATGTATTTTTGATAGACCTTGCAAATAAAAATAGTAAAAAGAGATGTTTGGAACAATAAAGTTAATACAGGGGCCTTATTATGGTACACATAAATGAAACTGTGAGTTAGGACAATAAGGCACAAATTTTGCCAAGCATAAACCTCTAGGTCCCACACCATCAAGTTTTCAAGCAGAGATCCAAGCAATAGAACTGTGCACAACAAATACAAAACAGTAAGGTTGACAAAACATCACCCTGTCATAGTCCTCTATTAACAGTGAATAAGTTGAAGCAGCCACCTTCAACTTTATCTTTATCAGATGCATTTATAGTAATTTGGACCTTTATTATAGTTTTTTAAAACTATGGTATGTGCATTGTCTAACCACCATTTTTGTTATTGAACACATGGCTGTTCATGCTTCACTGATCAGAAATTAATTTAAATATTCTGACTCATACTTCCTGAGTCCTTGCCAGCCCATGGCTTTTTATTTCAAAATAATATAAAAAAAATTATTGACAAATGGTTTGACCCCTTGTCCATGACGACCAACTAGGTGGATGTTTGGCTCTCCTTTATGGTAAGAATTACTTTATTTTATGTAAAAGAAGAGCAATAGATGTATTTGATTATAAAACCAAAAGCGATCCTATTTTCTTTCTTTGGTACTTTTTTTCTACGAATGTTCATGTTTATGCATATTTTGACAGGCAACAACAATTTTGTTTCCGAATGAGTAAATCATTTTTCAAGCATTGTAATTTTAAATTTGGTATAAATTATGTAGCTAGGGGAAATATAATATTGCTAACGGCTAGTAGAAAATAAAACAACTGTTAAGGAATAGATTGGGTCCCAAACAATACCTGTTTATAGATAAAAAGCAAAAGATAAAGGGACTAAAGGTGCACAGATCTCAAACAGCCAAGTAGCACTGGAAGCTTTAGAATGCTCAACCTTCAGCTTAAAGCTGTTCTGGTAAATCTGGCACAATCAGAAGTAGCCCCCCCACACCATTAATAAAAAAATGTGAAAATAATACTGTTTTTGCAGCTTGTAAGTCAGCATGTGGAAAATAAATGTAAATTTGCAAGTCGTCTGCTTAAAGAAGGTAGGAACAATATTTTATGGAATTAGGAAAGTTGTTAATGTAGCAATAAAAAAGAGAAGCAGAAATACTTGATATACGATATAAAGATAGGTAAATTCCACAATAGATATTTTAGGTAACAGTAGAAGAAAGGGAGACTACTGTCACCAGTGACCCAAAAGGGAAAAAAGCTTGTTGCTTCGCTATAATTTTTTTGTACTTAGTCTGTGATGAATTGGTAGTTTTTGTTAATCTTCCTACTGACATGGATTTTTTTTTTTTGTATGGAAGGAAAACAGGTGCTACGAGATCATTTTTTAATATGATAGACCATGGCACTCTTTTCCTTTTTATTAGATTGATGCCAGCTAGAACTCTGATGACTGAGTAGGGGTTGGGAAAACGAGAATTCTGTGGGCAAGGGGTGTTTACACTCTGACAGGGAGGGATTAGATTTCCAGTCATTAATCTCTTTAGAGCCCGACGTAACCAACGATGGCAAAACATCCCTGCCTTCGAAATTTCCTAGCCTTTTCTTTGCACTAGTTTTTTCAAATGGTGTTTACCCATGAATGAGAATATAAGTCAACACGATTGACCTGCTGGAGGTAAGAACGAGTAAGCTCAAAACCCTCTGAGCAATTTTGCCTTTGACATTTCATGCACTCTATCGAGCTGTGGGTTCAATTTCTGATAAACTCTCTTTCATGCTCCCCTTCCCCAAAAAAACTTTTTTGCAAAGTTATACTTAAAAAACATGGGGTCTGTTAGTATTGCTAGTATCCTTCTCTTAGTTTTAATTATTTGGCATCATAGTGACTTATTGAAGCTGGTTCTTTCTAGATTAAATAGTCTTCTATTTGCAATCGATCCTGCTTCCCTGTGGATGAAGATGTGTAGAAGTGGTCGCTTAGTGTTGGCTGTACCCAAGGTCCTCACTGGTATACTGAGGCATGCCATCCTTTGTGTACTTAAGAACTTTTCTACTCTTAATTGGAGTTTTTACACCACACAATTGCCCTGTATCTATGGTACTTTTTTGATCAATTTGGACTGCCTGTGGTTTTACTTGTTTACTTACCCTGACCACAGTATTATGGTTGGTGGCATTTGTCGGTTTGTGGGTAGATTAGCACATGTGTAACTGATTGACATGATTTATTTATTGGGTTTATCTATTCTCGCTGATTTACTTTTCACTCATACACCTTTCGCTTCTTCTGTGAGAAATTGTGTCAATGGACATGTCTTTTATGTCTATTAAGACCATTTTTGAGATGAACACTGGGTTTTTGCTATTTCATTTTTAAACTATACTTTTACTTGAAGAATTTAATTTTCATTTGTATTTATTTTTCACAAGAGTCTACACTTTCTGTTTAAGAATCAAACTAAAATTTTATTGCATTACAGCAAATTTTCGAGGTCATTTAGTTGTTTAAAAAAAGCCAAAATTGCTGTTTTTTCAAAATCTGTTACGTTTGTTAGAACCAATCTTTTTTTACTTTTCTCAGTTTTTACCTAAAAACTTGTACCTATGGGGGTTTGTAAAAATAGTGAATCTTTAATTTTTGGCAACAATCTAAATTTGTGACAATTTTACACCTTTTTTTATACAATACAAAATTTATTTCTTCCCATTCTAAAATAATACTAATATTGATCATTACCATTATTTGTTTATTGTTGCAGAACAAAATGAACAAAGAATTGTTTCAATATAAGGAATAACAATGAGAAAAGTCTACCGAAAAGTGAAAAAATTTTTACAGAAGCTATTTTCTGAACAAGTTTAATATTTTCCAGTTGCCATTCAACTTATGTCATAAAAAATGAGCACACCGAATCTTCTTAGAGTGTTGAGTTGTTAGATGTAGCTTTACTTTGTTAAGTAGTTTTTGCTACAAATTTTTTTAAATGACGAGAGTAAGAGATTAGTTGCAAGCTCATCAATGGACCAAAACACTCGATTCACAGCTTTCAAAAAATTATTTGAAGCACTTCTAAAGCTCGACATCTCATGGGACTGGTTTAATTTTGTGTCTAAAAGGTCTTACAAGGGGGCAAGGAGGTTGGTATATCACGGATTTGGACCACACTTTTTTGGTAATTCTACACTCCAAAATATCGGACATGTATCCGCCACTTTTTGAGAATAGGCCCAGGTTTAGCCAAATTTTTTTTAAGTTAAAATTTTCCGTTTTTAAATATTTTTATTTCGGCGTTCTACTTGTTCCTATCAACTACGTTAATATATCATTTTAAAGCATTTTTTTAACATGTAGATTGCAATAAAAATATATTAGAAGCCAACAAAGTTTACCAATATCAAAAATTCTAAGAAAAATATTTTTCATGTAAACTAGATCATAAATTTTTTTTGGGAAACTAATATAAAATTTCCTTTTAGCACCTGTAGAAACCCCTAAATATAAATTTTTGTTTGAATTCTAATTTATCGATTTTTTTGACCCCTTAATTTTTCCAATTTTGAGAAATCGTTATCGGAATATCTAATTTAAAAGGCTATAATTCAAAAACGGCCAAAAGGATATTAACGTCAAACATACCATTTGAAAGAAGAGTAACGTAGCTTTTTAATGACATATGTACTATAAAAATAAATAAAAGATTTCTATAAAGAAATACATAAAATAAGAACATATTTTTGTTAGAAATTAACCTAGTTTTTTTAAATGGAAATAATAGTCTGATTAGTTATAAAATGAACTTGATAATTTTTATAAAACCATCACAATCTAAGGTTTTATAACGTAGAATTGCG